TCTATTATGGACATCAGAACACCCCACCATACACAAAATGTCAGTAATCAGAACATTATATCACCGAGCAAACATGATAACAGAAGAAAGAGGCCGTAAACAAGAGGACAAACACATACAACACGCTTTAAAGACATGCGGATACCCGACATGGGCAATAAACAAAGGAAAACAACAAACAGCAACAGAAAGAAAAGAATAACCAAAGCAAAGAACCAGCAACCCTAACTAAAAGATGGAGGCAGACACCTCTACCTAATTTTTCACTGACAAAGTTTCAGTTATAAGCAAACAGTTTACTGAGCTGGCCACTCCTGAGCCTTCACTACAAAAAAGTATTTCAAGCCTGACCAAGAGAAGTCCTACTGCATCCTTTTCTTTATTTACCCCCATCACTGAGAACTGTGTGTCCAAACTTCTTAGAAGCTAGAGTGACTTCCAAATCCTCAGTACTTATCCTGCTTGACTTATTGGCTGCATTTGACACAGCTTCCTTTGGGCATACCCTCTGGGCATCACAGCGAAAGCACACTCCTGGTTTGAATTGTACCTGACAGGACGACCATTCAGTGTATCTTGGCTTGGACAATATTCTGCTGTTCACCATATTGCCACAGGAGTCCCACAGGGCTCTTTATTAGGACCTCTTCTCTTTGCCATGTACACCATCTCACTGGGTGAGACCATGCAATCACATGGCTTCTCCTACCACTGCTATGCCAACGACACCCAGTTCTGTCTTTTGTTCACCATGGATGCCCTCACAGTCTCTGCACGAATCTCGGACTGTCTTTCTGACATATCAAGATGGATGAAATCTCACCATCTCCAACTCAACCTCTCAAAAACTGAATTACTTCTCATCCCAGCGAAGCCATCCATACAACACAATATCTCAATCCAAAATGATTCTCTATCTCTGGTTCCTTCAAACACAGTTCAAAATTTGGGTCTTGTGATTGATGACCAGCTGACTTTTAAAGATCACGTTGCCTCTGTCGCTCGTTCATGTCATTTTGTGCTGTATAACATATGACAGATCAGACCATACCTAACACAATATGCCACTCAGCTGCACACATCAAATTCAAATTGCTAACAGTAGTATACAAATTACTGGATGGTACGGCTCCCATCCACCTGAATCTTCTTGTAAAGGCTTACGTCACGGCTGCTCCGGTCATCAAAGGATCATCAGTTAGCAGTGCCTACACCACGCTCAGGACAATCCAGACTTTTTTCATGTGTTTTTCCACAGATGTGAATGACCTACCAAACACTACCAGAACAGGGGCATCCTTGACAATTTTCAAGAAACCCCTGAAGACCCAGCTCTTCAGAGAGCATCTTCTAAACTAGCACCCTCCCTACACCCATCCCCCACTCTACTGTCTACTCCTTGTTCACTTCCCTTCATGATTCATTATAATGCTTCAATGCCACCTAGGAATTACTGATTAGTGTTTGTTGCCTCAATGACAACCTGCTGGCTTCATTATCACTTGTCAGTCGTTTTGGACAAAAACGTCTGCTAAATACATCAACATAAACATAAACAAAACGGGGTTGATGTGATTAGAAGACGGTGCATTCGTGATGATGCAGTAGAGCATTGGACCAGTTGGAATTTATGCAGACTTATTTGGCAGACCAAAAAGGAGTGATTTAAAATAATCTAGGCAAGAAGTGACCAAGCTGTTTACTAAAATAGCAGTGAAGTGATTGGACAGAGATGACGGTAAGCGGTTAATATTTCACAAGTGGTAGTAAGCTGATCGAGTGACAAAACTGATATGAGAATGGTAAGACAGGGTGCTGTCCAGAATTACACCAAGGTTCATAATGCATTTATTACATCAAGAATGGATTACTGTAATTCATTACTCTCAGGAAGTCCACAGAATGTAGTTAAAAGTCTTCAGCTTGTCCAAAATGCTGCAGCTAGAGTTCTGATGAGAATTAAAAAGAGAGATCATATCTCTCCTGTCTTAGCTTCCCTACATTGGCTACCTGTTAAATTCAGAATAGATTTTAAGATCCTCCTTATTACATATACATATATATATATATATATATATATATATATATATATATAAAGATATATATATATATATATATATATATATATATATATTAAGATATATATATCTTAATAATCAAGCTCCATCATACATCAGTGATCTGATTGTTCCATATGTTCCTAACCGAGCACTTCGCTCTCAGACTGTAGGTTTACTGGTGGTTACCAGAATATCTAAAATTAGGATGGGAGGCCGATCTTTTAGTTATCAGGCTCCTCTCCTGTGGAACCAGTGTCATGAGCCTGGGTGAGTACTCCTCTCACTAAACCATCTGTGAGTGTGTGTTTGCAGGAGAGGGAGCTACAGCTGCAGCTGGTCAGCAGTCAGCGGGTCTGCTACTTAAGGTGGATGAAGAACACAGCTTGACGCCGCTACTGTTTGGTAGTTTCCAGCCTTCATCTTGATCTCAGGTTTTTTGATAACTCGTATATTTTTGGACTCGTGTGATTTTGTGCGTTTGCTCACCTACCTCAGGTGTCAACACATCAGGATTCAACACCACAACTCCATAGGACTCTGGAATCTCTCTGCCACGTTCATCCATCCATCCTGACCGACCCGCTCTCTCCCTGCCCTCCCTCTCTCCATCCCTGGACCCCCACCCCACCCCCACCTACCCACCCACCCGCCACACCCACCCCCCGCCCTCCCCAGCTCATTATCATCCCCTCTGCCCTAATCCCACACAACCCAGTGAGTCTCTACTCTGCACCTTCCAGTACTGACTTACTCCTTAGGACTCACCTCATTCTGCTGTCCCCCTCCAGACGCTGCATTCCCAGTTCCTGTCCACTGGAATTCCCAGTGCGCTTTTAGTTGTTGTTATCCAAAAATAAAATCTTATTTTTTCCCATCATTCTGTGTCAGTGGCTTGATTCTGCATGTCTTGGGTTAGACACCTCCCCCAGAACATGACAACCAGCTCCCAGCTTTAGTCCGTGAGGCAGACACTGTCTACTTTTAAGACTAGGCTTAAAACATGTTTATTTGATAGGGCCTATGGTTAAAATCTGATGTTAGCCTAAATCTGGACAAGTGGGGGAGTAGAGGGAGGTGGAGTGTACAGTCGGTAAAGACGGCTCTCCCTTGCCCTGCCTCCAACATGCCTCCATCTAAATAGGATAGATTACCCAGAGTTATCTCTGTAGTTATGCTGCTATAGGCTTAGACTGCTGAAGGATACACTGACCACTTTTCACACTCTACTACTTTCTTCTCCAATCTGCTCTTTAACTGTACTATTTTCTGCAATTTCAGCTGTTAACTTTATTTTCTCTAAGTGTTTTTCTCCCCAGAAGAAGCTACAACGACGTTCTGCTGAGCTGTGGTGGCCTCATGGAGGGGGCCATCGACTAGCACACTGCTGCTAACCACTTAAACATTCTCCCTCTCCTGATAATAACTTTTTGCTTTCCTTGACGTTGGATGTGCTACTACTAGTTTATCCGTTTAATTATAGATCCACTAGGATAAATACAATAACGTTTATCTCTCACCAAATAGAATATTTACCAAGACATCACAATGTAACCACAGAAACATTGCTGTGTGTGTGTGTGCGTGCGTGCGTGTGTGTGTGTGTGTGTGTGTGTGTGTGTGTGTGTGTCTGCTCTGTCAGTGGATGGCTACTTATACTGAGCCAGGATTCTCTGGAGGTTTCTTCCTGTTAAAAGGGAGTTTTCCTCTCCACTGTCGCTAAATGCTTGCTTAGTATGAGGATTGCTGTATAGTCACTGACTAGTCTGTGACTTGATGCAACCTGCTGGGTTCCTTATATAGGATACTTTTTTACTGATTGGCTTAATGAACTGACCTGTACTGGAATGTTTATTACGTGAAGTGGCTTGAAACGACTCTTGTCATGATTTGGCGCTATATAAATAAACTTGAATTGAATTTGAGAAAGCCAAGCTAGAGGAGTGGCTAAAGCAGATCCCAGGAACAACATCAGGACCTGTCCTACAGGCCGCCTATAGAGTACCGCTGTCCTAGAGTTTCACCATCTATTTTTTAAGGGGAGGAGAGACTAAGTCACACCCATCTACTTCCAGACTGTGGGTCCCTGTAAATAAGAAAAAAATGCATGCAAGTAAGCTACAAAAGCTCTTTTTAATCCCATTTGATATGTGCCATGTATTTAATATATGATGTCCGTGAATTTTAAAGTTACATTTTGATGCCAGGCACGATCAGCAAAAGTTTTTGTAGGATTTGTGTGAAAACACATGTAGGAATACAAATGCTTCTCACCAAATTGATGTAATCGAAGCAGACACAGACAAGGAAAAGGCTGAGTTTAGTGAGCTTCAAGTCCCTCTTCCATTATGAAACAAGGTGCAATAATTGTGGAGTAAAATAAACACAATAATTGTGGTAAGTAGTTCTCCCTCTACACCACCTCAGGCCACCAGTCTGTGAAAATAGTCAAGTTCGCTGATGACACCACTCTCAGTGGCCTCATTTCAGATGGGCTCGAGTCTGCATACAGAGGGGAGGTGGAACGCCTGGCGTCCTGGCGCAGCAACAACCTGAAGCTGAATTGAATACTTCAGGAGAATGCCAGCTCCACTGCCTCCCATAACCCTGACACACACACACACACACACACACACACACACACACACACACACACACACACACACACACACACACACACACATATTTCTTTTCAATACAGAACACACACATTTAGCCCTGCTCACCGTTGTGTGATTAGTATTATTCTGTTAAGGAGAACCCACAAACCTTTTCTATTGCCATCATGAACATGTAAAGTCCTTTTTAGTTGTTAAAGTGACAAATCCACTGCAAAGAAGCCCAAAAGTGACATCTAACCCCAGAGCTGCAGCCAGCAGGCCACTTATAATATAATGCATACATGATGTTATACATGGTGTACTTAAGTGCAGAGAAACTTGCCTGTTTGTTTCATCCTTGGCAGTTTTCATTTCAGAGATAGAAACAATATCAACCGAAGCGCCTGTGGCTTGCATGAGCACCCTGGAAAGATCCCACAGGAAGGAACCAGATTTAAGGGTTTTTTAACATTTCTTCTGTTCAAAGGAAGAAGATTCAAATTTGACTAAAATAAAAGCAAACCTGGTGATCTTATCACGCCTCTCTTCAACCTCCTGAACAGAAACTACAAATCCAAACTTAACCTTAAATTCCTGATCGACGGTGAAGATCTACAAATTAAAAGCACATAAATGTTAATAGTGTTTAATCTGTCTGGTTGTTGCTGATGAAATCATCCATTTATTCTCTCACCTCCAATACAGTGCTGCTCTGCAGACCTCCAGTATCAGTCGCTGTGACTGTTACCAAATATTTTCCTTTCAGGTTTATTTCAAGGCTTTTAGTAGTTCTAGAGGAAATGGAAAACAAGTAAATATTAAGCATCTATATATAGAAGACAATGAGCACCGTAAAATAGGACCAAACAAGCTCAAGCTCCACGTCGGGTAGAAATCTACAACAAGTGTTTCAGCTGTAATAGATGACTTACTGAATCAGTCCAACAAAAATATCCTTCTGTTGTGAAGTGATGGCCTCGAACACGACGCTCATGTTGGATATTTGGTTGTTCTTGTCCACAAACCTGACAGTCTGTACTTTAAAGTCAATCTGCTTGTTTACTCCAGAGTCTAAATCGGAAGCCTGGAAGCAGCAGGAAGAGTTTTCAGAAAAATTTCACAATAATAGGGTGGAACACGTTTCAGTCAGTCGTACTCACAGTGACTCTGGCAATGGATGTTCCTTTATTTGCTCCTTCGGACACCACGACTGGACAGAGGGGGTGAATTAGTGTTAAACAAAACTGAAGGTTTGATTCTTTTATTCTCAAGAAAACATTTTTAAGTGACTCTTCAGAGGTGGGCAATCCTGCTATCCAGCAGGTTTTAGTTGTTTACCTGCTCCAACACACCTGATTCCTGGATGAAATCATCTGTTCAGCAGCTCATCAGGCTCTGCAACAGCCTGTTAATCACCAGCAGTTCAACCCTCTGGAGGCAGGTTAAAACCTGCCTACCTGGTTACTCCACATTCGTGTTTCAGGAGCATTTTTTAACTCAGAAGTTCCCCTGAAGGACTTAGTTGTTCGTCCTTTTATCAACACTTATTTTGAGCCTGAGAGGGTTAAGCCAGGTGTGTTTAAGCAGAGAAACAAAAAAACCTGCTGAGGACCAGGATTACCCTCTTCTGCTTCAGAGCCTCTGTTAGAAGACAATGCTGCCGTCAGGGAGCCTTGGGTCGTTTATAAGTGGTCAGACCATGGCGGTAATGTCACGCAATCGTGTCCTTTCTACAAAAGATTACACAATGGCAGTATGGGGTGTGGGGTGGGCTCTGTGCTGCCGTGGAACTCATAAAGTGTGTCCAACAAGCCGCTCCTAAAGGTGTCTGTCCACATCCCCCATGCAGTTTCTGGTGACCGGAGCTCCAGCTCTAATGGAGAGAAGCTCCTGGAATGCTGCTGCGCTCCAGTTTGCCACCTCAGCTGATTCTGTTTACAAAAGCAAAACCTACTGCTGTTTTTACTTTCATTTTCAGCATAGCTGCCAGCCGGAGCTCGGCAGTAACTCGCCACGTCATCATGACACCTCCCTCTGTTGCGCCAAGGCGTAATTTGCGTTCACACATCTGGCACTGCGGCAATATTACTACCAAGCATGGCGTCACAAATGCTGCTAAATTCCTGCAACGCCATGCCGCCACGGCGTATTCCTGCCATGCTGGCAGAATTACGCTGATTTGAGAAAAAGGCTTTTAATTACGAAGTAAAAATTTTATTGTGTCTATTTACTGCAATCCTCTGTGATCATGAAATCTGCTGGTGTTCTTCATGCTACACGCTAAAGCTAAATACACGTCACTTTTAAATAGCAAAAGTCAAACAGATATCTGTGTTTTCATGTATTTTGTCATCCTGTGTTCATATTCATATTTATTTTCCAAAAACTAAATACGTTGTGTAAATTATTTCAAATCAAATAATAAAAAAATGTAGGATTAATATTTACACAAATATTTGAGTTAAGCGGTGAAAAACAAGCAAACTTTACTAGTTTGTGTTTGAGTTAAATTAAAAATGATCAGAAATAAAAGAATCGGTTTGACCTTAAAATCACATGTTGAAGATTAATTAGTTTGAACGGACGTGAACAAGTTGTTGATGCTCATAAGGCTAAAAGAATAGAAGCATCCCAGAAGAGTTTGGATGCCATTAAGCTACAAATGGAGCAAATTCCCCTTTGAGAGAAAAGCGTCAAAATCCTGAACAACAACAAGGCTATGGGGGGGGGGAATTCTCTGTGACACAATCTGTCGGGCCGAGGACACAGTGTGGGATTCTGGATAATAAAGTTATTTAAAGACAAACCTTCAGTCAGTGTGGTTACATGCGCACTGACCGACAGCTAAGTTGATTCAGGTCTTTATCCTAGTTTACATGTGCGTTAGAAAACCGGCCTCCACTCCGGTACAGGAGCTGGCGACACGCCCCTTCTCATGTTGGCATTCTTCCGGTTAGCTTATAGCAACTGAAGCAGTGAACGGGCTGGCGGGAGTGAAGCAGACGGAATATGCACAACAACAACGCAGCAGCACAGCTCATTCCGGTTTTATGGCGTTACGCGTCTTGCTTTGTGACAATGGTCTTTTCAGAAGACTGCTTCCGCAGTCTCGTCACTTCCGGAACGTGAGCGTCCTACCGGTATAGTTGAGAAGGACCTGGCTGCAGCACGCAGAAAGGGGCGGCGTTGGGCCAGTTGTCAGACGCCGCCCCTTTCTGCGTGCTGCAGCCATGTGTACTTGGTTCAGACTGACCCGTTTACATGCAGGATGTACTCGGATTGCTGCGGCATTATCTGGGTGCTTCAGCTCGATTCGTACCAGTCCGCCTTAAGCCAGACTAACACGTTTACATGCAATGAACAAAGGTGAGTCTTTGTTGGGCAATACGTCGGTGTACTGATGTGCATGGAAACGCAGTGTGTGACAGTCGGGAGGAGCAGAAATATGACCTTAACATTTAGAAAAGATCTGAATGTGAGAAAAGATGTCAGTAAAAGTTGTTTTCAGTAACTGAGCTCTCACCAAAGACAGCGTCTGAGTAGATGAACTGAGGAGTGTTGTCGTTGATGTCCTCTATGTTGATCAGCATTTGTCCTGAAAGAACACCAGGAGACAGAGAGGAGCCGACTGTGAGTGAGCGGTTTCAGACTTTAGAGTTTTACTGTTTTTCCTCAAAGCTCTTGTTCTGACCTGGTGTCACGCTGTTATTTTGGCCTTTCTCTGTCTTCTCGTCCACCACCTGGGCCTCCACCACAGCTTGAACGCACTGCTCATAATCCACTGTGTGGGCTGGGTTGACTCTGACATCCCCATTTGGGTCGAGGGTGAACCACTCACAGGGTGTCAGCGAGTCATTACATCTGCAGGTGACAGATTCCAGGTGGAAGACCAGGAAATGGTCGGTGTCTTTGTCGTGTGCCGTGAACCTCCCAACAGGCTTGCTGATGGTGGTGTTCTCCTTCACAGACACGGGTTCTGTTGGCTTGAACTGGGGCCTCTCGTCATTCACGTCCAGCACGTTCACATCCACCACCACAGAGGCTGTCTTTTGTTCCAGATCTGCTGCTTCCACCACCAGTCTGAAACGGTTAGGTGGTGTCTCATAGTCCAGCTCGATGTCCTGGTCCACAGAAATGTTTCCTTTGTAGCCTCTCACATCCGGAAAGGTCCGAATGGTGAAACTGCCAAAGCTTCCATCAGCAATGCTGAAGGAAATACGCTTGAAGTCTGCCGTTTGATCCAAATCCTCAGCGTGAACTGTGCCAACTAATGCACCTGATTGGATAAAAGAAAGTGCATCACGATCCTAACACACTGTCAGGAACGTAAACGGTCTTTCATTTAGACTATACCAACCCTTTTCTCCTTCTTTAACAGAGAAACTGTAAGAGTTGTCTTCAAATTTAGGCGAGTTATCATTAACATCCTAAGACACATGAGAGGTGAACAATTATTTCATGATGCGTCTCCCAAAATGCAACTGGGTGGTTAGAAACGCTCCAGGATGACATACCTGCACAATTATAATAACTGGGACTGAACTGGACAGTGGGGGGGTTCCTTGGTCTGTGGCAGTGACGTTAAACTTCACCTCTCCATTGAGCTCTGGATCCAGTGCCTCCCGGTCCAGTTCACCTTTGTTTCTCAGCACTCCTGTGTTTCCATCTATGGTGAAGTTGTTGCTGTATGTGCTTGGGTCTATGCTGAACAGAATCTCACTGTTCACAGTACCGGGCTCGTCTCTGTCTGTGGCCTGCACAAATCAGAGAGATGACTAGAAACGATCCACAAAGCAGCACTGACAACTTTTTAATGTACACACATTTAAATGTGTTTGTCTGGGAAGAGGAAGTCCATTTACAGTCAGTTCAGTTCCAGTTTATTTATATAGCGCCAAATCACGACAAGAGTCGTCTCAAGGACCTTCACACAGTAAACATTCCAGTACAGGTCAGGTCATTAAGCCAATCAGTAAAATGTTTCCTATATACGGAACCCAGCAGGTTGCATCGAGTCACTGACTAGTGTCAGAGTCTTTACGGCAATCCAAGTGCTTTTCAATTAAGGCCTGGTATTGTCACGGTCTGAGGTGAGAACTCTCCTTCAAAGACTCGAGTGTTTTCAGGTGGTTGGTGCTGAGATGCGGGTCAGGTGCCAGCAGCCAGCTCATTAGCAGGGCTGGCTACAAGACTTACTCTTGGTGTTGTCGTTGAGAATCACGAGCCATCTTTTGAGTCCTACAAAGATCAATGATTATTTTTCTAGCGACTTTGACCTCACGCTTGTCTCTTTCCCCGTCCACAGGAACTCTCACCACCTCCCACCTCTCCAGCTGCTTCACATCTCTCATCTAGATCCTCATCCTCTCCAGCCTAGCCAGACCGACCCGCTCTCTCCTGGATCTCGGCCCAACTCAGACCTGACAACCTCCCTTCCCCGAGCCTGAACTTCCTCAAGGAACTGTAAGCCCCATTTCCCAGATTCCCTGCTCTGTTTGGCATCCTTCACACTTCACTGATGGCCCTCTGTTTACAGATCTGCTTCAAGTCCTACCCAAACCCAGAGACGCCTCGCTTTGATGGTGCGCCCTCATTTTCCTTAACAAAATATTGTTTTTTTATAGTGTGTGTGTGTGTGTGTGTGTGTGTGTGTGTGTGTGTGTGTGTGTGTATGTGTGTGTGTGTGTGTGTGTGTGTGTGTGTGTGTGTGTGTGTGTGTGTGTGTGTGTGTGTGTGTGTGTGTGTGTGTGTATACTGAACCCTAACATGACAGGTGTTCCTTTAAGGAATGCATATTTCCCACTGAGGGTCACACCAGAGTTTGAAACTAACATCTTATGTTGAGGATGTGCCTTTAAAGCCATTTGGGCCAAATCATGAAAGTATTTGTGAACAATCTCGTGCACTGTAGGAGGACGATGTTTTTTATTTGTTTTTTTAATAGGCGAGTGGCTCCGAGTGCCAAAGTGTCATATCAGCAGGTGAGTCGTTGAGCCAGGTGGAGGTGCGGCCGAGACTCAGCAGGAGTCCGGTGCAGTGCAGCCACGTAGTACGACACAGACGTCAGCCTGCAGCGCTACAGCAATCAGCTATTGCTGATCCTAAATCAGTGTGGAGCAGTTTTAACCTGAAGATGGAGATGTAATCACGGTTTTGTGTTGAACTGCCAAATGGTTGGACTCTGGTTCATATAACACAACATGGCAGCCGCCATCAGTGGTGCACTAAGGTTTCACTTTAGTCCCGTGTGAGAAGACAGAATTGTGTTGAGTTGTGAAGGACTGTAACTCTCAAGTGTCAAAGGCCTCTTGGTTAAATGAAGTGAGTTGAGCGGATGAAGATCCTCCTCGGCTCTTACCTCGATGCTCAATTCAAGCTGCTTGCCCTCTTCCACAAACTCTCTGTAATATTTTTGACTGAAGACTGGAGGCTGGTCATTGATATCTGTCAAAGTGATCTCCAGTACCGTGGAGCCCGGCTTGCCATCCGAGTCCCTAGCCTGCAAGGTGGCTGAGTAAAGAGATCTGACCTCACGGTCCAGAAGAGTGTCGTTTTTCACGTAGACTTTGCCTGTGTGCTCTTCAACATCAAATAAGGTACGTCTGAAACACAGATTTAAACCAAACTTGGATCAATCAAGTATGTGTCAGGTGGCATAACAACAAAAGGCGGTGAGTATTTGCATGTATTTGTTTAAAAGCTGATGTACCGTATTGTCCGGACTATAAGCCACTACTTTTCCCACGCTTTGAACCATGCGGCTTATAATGAGGTGCGGCTTTAGTCAACCAGAAAGGATGGATGCTGGAAAGTCTAATGAAGCAATGGATAAAGGAGCGCTACAGAAAGCGCCCAGGAGGATTTGTTTCACAGTAAAACGGCGCTGCTTGTTTTCCCAGCTTCACCCGGGATGATGACAGCAACACGGAGAGCGACACTGACATCACCACAGAAAAGGTGTGTGACGAAGCTCTTCTGAGGCTGTTCAACTCTGACACTGAAGAACGATGATGACTTCAGTGGTTTCAGTGCACAGGAGGACGATGAATAAACTAATCAATAACTTTTCTGTTTTGTTTGATACTGATCAGTTCAGTTATGTTCAGTTAAACTACGTTTTCAGTTCAGTAGATATCTGCAGCTTTTAGCCCGGTGCGGCTTATATTGGGGTGCGCTCTATAGTCCGGACATGACGGTAGTTAGATCTAACCGCAGACATACATGCTTTCTGGAAGAAGCCTGTAGGTGATATTGCCTTGATCCATCGTGTCAGGATCATCTGCCTGGAATAAAAACACACTGACATGAACCTCAAAATGTAACCAATGAGGGAAAGATATGAACCACTTCAGTTCTTACATTTTAAAATGAATTCGTTCAGCTCATAGTTCATAATTACGTATTTTTAATTCCCAGTTCCAAAAAGAAGTAAGTGCATCTAAAATCGATGTTACATGTAGGCCTAGGTAAATGCACCACGGACGGGAACAGTGGCATCAACAGCTATCTCCATGCCACGCTCTTCTTCAGCTCAGCAAGGAAACAAGGTCATTTCAGAGTGAGTGCTCTCACTTTAACGTTCATCAGATAAAATACAAGCAAGTTCAGTTCATGTTCGCAAAACGAGTTCACGCAAAGTCATTCAGTGAACTTGTTCAGACACAACACTGCACGTAACTAAAAACTCATCAAGTTTCAGGTCTTACGGTAATCGTGGCAAGTTCTGTCCCCACAGCAGCGTGCTCAGCCACTTCCAGCTCATATGTGTCCTTAAGGAATGTGGGGCTGTTGTCATTGTCGTCCTTTATGTTTATAGTGACTGTCGCAGTAGAGCGGAAGTTGGGTTTGTCTTTGTCTGTGGCAGTTAGCTACAAGGATGCAAACAAAACACATCAGTCTGCTTCAGTGTTCACATATCTAAACACAAACACAAATATTTTACCTGAAAAACCATTTGATGCTTTTTCTCATAATCCAGGTTTTCTGGCTGCCTGACACGGAGCTGGACGATGCTTTGTGTCGTGGTGGATGAAGGCTCCACAGAAAACACATTCTTGTCTTCTCCCTCCAGGCTTAATTCAGTGTGTGAAATCTGTGAAATCATGAAACAGACGGTCCTTCATCTTTGATGAGATCCAGGGTTTGTCAAGGATTTAAAAACTTTCACAGGTGTGTTTGCTTCTCACCTTATCAGGATCTATGACTGTCATATTGAATGAAACAGAAACCAGCGTGTGTTCTAAAACTTCTCCTGTAAAGTCAGTTGCTTTCTCACAGGGGTCTCCACACTTATAAAACTGAGGAGGGTTATCGTTGACATCAATGATGGTGATCTGAACCGTTGTTGTTGCGCTGGAATATGTTCCATGGATGTTTGGATTTGACTCAGTGGCCTTAAACAAAAACAAGGGTTGTTAAATCTTCAAATCAGATTATCTTGTCTTGGAAAAACAGTACTACTGTATTACACTGTTCAGTCTGAATTAAAAACAAGGGAAGTTGTGTTGTAAGTTAGATTTTATGCAGTTTATCACGAAAAGAGTCGTCTAAAGCACTTCACACAGTAAACATTCCAATACAGGTCAGTCCATTAAGCCAATCAGTAAATTATTATACTACATAAGGAACCCATCAGGTTGCATCGAGTCACTGACTAGTGTCAGTGTCTTTACAGCAATCCTCATACTAAGCAAGCATTTAGCGGCAGTGGAGAGGAAAACTCCCTTTTAACAAGAAGAAACCTCCAGAGGATCCTGGCTCAGTATAAGCAGCCATCCTCCACGACTCACTGGGGATGGAGAAGACAGAGCACACACACACACACACACACACACACACACACGCACACACACACACACGCACACGCACACACACACACACACACACACACGCACACGCACACGCACGCACGCACACACACACACACACACACACACACACACACACACACAAAACATATATAACATATATACAAATTAGCGTTTCTATGGTTACATTGTGATTTCTTAGTAAATATTCTATTAAGTGAGAGATAAACTTTATTGTATTTATCCTAGTGAATCTATAATTAAACGGATAAACTCGTAGTAGCACATTCAATGTCAAAGAACGTAAAAAGTTATTATCAGGAGAAGGAGAATGTTTAAGTGGTTAGCAGCAGTGTGCTAGACGATGGCCCCCTCCATGAGGCACTCCACCTCCCAGTACTCCCCCACTTGTCCAGATCTAGGCTAACATCAGATTTTAACCATAGGCCCTATCAAATAAAAATGTTTTAAGCCTATTCTTAAAAGTTGACAAGGTGTCTGCCTCACTGAGCTGGGAGCTGGTTCCACAAGAGAGGAGCCTGATAGCTAAAAGATCTGCCTCCCATCCTATTTTTAGATATTCTGGGAACCACCAGTAAACCTGTTGTGAAGCTAAGACAGGAGAGATGTGATATCTCGTTTTAATTCTCATCAGAACTCAAAGTGTTAGAGATAACTGAAGCCTGAGGGCCCATCTGCACTACTCCAGATCCACTGCAGTTATGAGAGTATTTCTGTCACACCAATAAGTGACAAAACCTCTAATAACCAAATATTACAATTAACAGAAAGAACATTTTTACTTTGGATTCAGATCCTCCCAAACCCCAGCCTGGCAAACCATGTAAATAATGTATATAGTCTGGCTACAAACCATTGGCAAAACCCAGCGTGGGCAGAATCTATGATCGTCTTTCAAATTATCTCTGCACACAAACGAACAATGCTAGGAACAATCAGAACAACAAACAACGTGACATATTCATCATTATGACAGCCTGTCAACAGGGGAGTCTGCCATGCACCATCAAAAACCACGAATAAGCAAATGCATCCTTTTTTTAAATAAGAGTAGTACCTATAACTGCTTATGTCTAAAATGAAAGCCCATTGTAAAATGCTCAAAGTTGATGTCAAAGCCATTTGAAACAAGCACCACTTCTGGGCTGATGCCATCTTTGTAGTTTTTCTCCATCAAACCTCTATTGTTAAGCCCATCTAACAAATGTAGAGTGCTGTTATTGGTAAGACAGAAAACTGTTCAGGCCAATTGTAGACCCGCTGAGGCTACTGTGGGAGTCTTAATACATCTTGGGTGAGTTGATTATTGGGGTTTTCATTCTTACTTCCCCTTTTGTTGTCATGGTGACACAATAAGGGTCACATGGGTGTGGCAGTCGGAATTAAAAGGAGCTGTCATTCTGTCACCTGGGGATTTTTGACAGATAGAGGAGGGCTGGGCAGCCGTAGTCTTTGTTGACTGCAGATGTTCAGTTAATCACATCACAATTCAGTTTGTTTTACTCCGTTTATAGTCACGTTATGTTTAAGGCTTTGACAAGAATTAAGAGTCGCCTGTAACAATAAAATGGACAAAAGCATTCCACCTCTCTGTGAATTAATCGAAGCAGACAGCGCGTCAAACAAATAGACCTGGGCCCAATCTCTGCCTCTACAGCGACTGTGGAAGTCGCTACAGCTACAATGGGGTGTGGCTACACTGACCTGCTGAGCAAAATCTTCTTGCTAGTGCTACGGTCTAGATTTCTAGGCTACCAATCAGTATGTATAAAAACTGGACCAACAAACAGAAAGTGAAGTCAAAGCCAAACAAGCCCCCTGGAAACTGGTTACAGCTCAAGTTTTAAGCCACAGTCCAGCATGTAAACCAAAATAAATAAATAAAATAAAAACACACCCATACATTTTCCCAGGTATTTATTTTTCCTCTTGCACTAAGATATTTATTGTTGTAAAACCTTCATGCTTAATTCAAAATCGGATGCCTAAAATCTACCATATCTGTCTGTAGTAGAGTAGGTGGCACTTTCAGGTGCCATGGGCAGACTCTGGTGGCAAAAAAAAAAAAAAAAAAACATGAGTCCGTAAACAGAATTACGTACCCTGACATTTTCATAACAAAATAAAGCAGAGCTAGCTGGTTCAGTTATTCTTATTGTTGACAGCCAAAACCTGTATTACTCTTTTAAATACCCTCAGTTTTGAGACATTGAGATGAGTATGGCTTGGCTGGATAAGCTAAAGATTAGCCATACAGGTAGCACTTAAAATATGGATTATCACCATTTCAAAACAACTTCAATCTAAAACATTTTACTGTGGTGCATACAATCAGTACTTTCTAAACCATTGAACTGCCACAGTTTTACATTACAAGGCAGGAATTTTGAAATCCTAACCAGAAACTTTGTGCATGGCCAGAGGTGTTGAAGCTAGCTAGCGCTGTCCACAGTTCCACCATGAAATAGACTTTTATGTAGAAATAGACTTTTATTATGAAATGTACGGTTGTGTAAAGCCAAAAAAAATGTTATGTACTGACATGTAAAAAAATAGCATTTGTACAAAAGGCAGTGACATTAAGCTCTGTTTCAAATTGAGGTTTTCTTTTAAAGAGCGAACATGTAAGATATTAATTGTTCATGCCCTTCTCAAAGAATAAAAAAATTCTCCACTCGCTTTGAGGGGAATGTCAGTCATTTTGCTAGACTAAACTGATGGTGTGGGTTTATAAACACAACAAAGACCTTTTTTAAGAAGTTTGTTACCTTCAGAGTTAGAATCACAGTATCACCAGTAACCTCTCTATCAATGTTTGAAGACACAGATATGACGCCTTCCTTTCTTGAGATTTCAAATAAGCCATCCTCTGTGGAATCTGTAAAAATAAAATCATACCTTGTTTATAACTCACTCGTATGACATGAAGAGCAGTCACTTTATTTTAGCTGACCTACGATGCTGTAGATCATGTCATCGTTGACTCCTGTGTCCTGATCTATGGCCGTTACTTCAAGCACAGACAAACCCTAGCAAAGGAGCCAAAAACAATGGATTACCTCCTCATTTATTTGTGATTTGGGTTCAGGTTCCTAAAATATGAACATTTTTCCATCACTGTTGGCATTAATGACAGAGGAATGAGATTCACCACTCGAGAATTCTCTTCAACTCTTGGGTCACTGGGAATGTTGATGAAAATTGGGTCGAGGTCTGCTACGTCCTTAACCGTGATGAAGGAGAAAACACTGTTGTTTTTGGAATGTGGCTCTTTTACATAACATAATATTCCTTCATCCTGTTAGGAGACACACAAAGTTTTATTTTAATACTTTATTAACAAAATAGGAAATTTAAACATTAGTAAATAGTAATTAGACTCAGAGGCAGCCCAAGGCATCTGTGAATTAAGCAACTGCTTTGAGCCCCCACACCACCAGGGCTCCCCAAGAGAACCAAGATGACATGAGAAAAAAAATGTTTTAAACTTAATAATACCTTTAAATAAAAACCAGCTAAATGTTATGGAAAAATTTATGTTTATTATTTCTTGATCATGGACTCAACCAACTGGATGTAATATATACTGCTCTATGCCTCTCTGCATCCTCTCATACACACACACACACACACACAAACACACACACACACACACACACACACACACACACACACACACACACACACACACACACACACACATTCTTGTATTCATACACACACTGACTCCCTCTCTCACACAATGACCTCACTCCTCCTTTCTTATCTTCCTCTCTATAAATAAACTCTGTGAGCGGATGTTCGGGGCATTTTGCCTCGTGCATCTTGCCACAGTTACAACTGTTTGACTTGTCTGCTCATTGTCTCCTTCTCTCTTCACTATAGGTAATGGGTTATTGATAAACATATTGATAAAATCTCCACCCTTCGCGCCACCCTTTTCCAGTTCTCGACCGGAAAAGGGTGGCTTGCCAACTCCGGGTCGGGGGAGAGGTCCTACCTCAAGTGGAGGAGTTTAAGTATCTCGGGGTCTTGTTCACGAGTGAGGGTAGGAGGGATCGGGAGATCGACAGGCGGATTGGTTCAGCGTCTGCAGTGATGCGGACGCTGAGCCGATCTGTCGTGGTGAAGAGGGAGCTGAGCCAGAAAGCCAGGCTCTCGATTTACCGGTCAATCTACGTCCCAATCCTCACCTATGGTCATGAGCTTTGGGTAATGACCGAAAGAACGAGATTGCGGATACAAGCGGCCGAAATGAGTTTCCTCCGTAGGGTGGCCGGGCTCAGCCTTAGAGATAGGGTGAGGAGCTCGGACATTCGGGAGGGACTCGAAGTAGAACCACTGCTCCTCTGGATCAAAAGGAGTCAGTTGAGGTGGTTTGGGCATCTGGTCAGGATGCCTCCTGGACGCCTCCCTGGGGAGGTGTTTCGGGCATGTCCTGCCGGCAGGAGGCCCCCGGGTCGACCCAGGACACGTTGGAGAGGTTACATCTCCAACTGGTCTGGGAACGCCTTGGGGTCCTGCCAGAGGAGCTGGTGGAGGTGGCCGGGGAGAGGACGGTCTGGAGCTTCCTAGTTGGGATGCTGCCCCCGCGACCCGGACCCGGATAAGCGGAGGAAGACGACGATATTGATAAAATCCACGACAATAATATTTCACAAGATAATACAATTTATCTGTATTGTTTTCTGTAGTTTATTTTGGTTTTATTTTGTAGTGCAGCACATTTTACACAATTACTAAAATTTAAAGAACAAAAGATAGTAAACCTAACTTTTTTTTACTGTAAATTCAGTGTTTGTCTGCTGATGTTTCTTTCAAATAGCTGAATGAATATATCACACTTAAATAACACCCTGCTATTCAAAATGCTAAATATTTAAAGACATTTTGTTGGTTTGCTGCTCCGGTAAAATTAAAATCAATATCTATAATAACACCTGTATGGTGTAAGCTAATTACAAAAGATACTAATGATAGTAGGCAAGTTACACAAATGGCTTAGCCTAGGAATGATTAATCAGCTGGAGTTGACTTGTTGGTATGGGGGGCCCAAAGGGAAACCTGCTCAGGACCCTACAAAGGCTTGGGCCGGCCCTGGTTTGACCCTTAACCAATGAAGAGGACTATTCCAGTAACAAATAGCAGGCCTAATTAATTAAAATGTTAAAAATGCTCTTACAGGAAACAAGTAGAGCACTATTATTTTATTAAATTATTTAAAATAGAGTTTATATATAGAGTTTTATATAATTTTTTCAACCAATTCATTCTTTCACTTTTAAACAAAACAAATCATCAAAGTAGAAAATGCATTCCAATTATAAGATTTTATATTTCCATATCATTAAAATAATTATGTGTGAATTTGCTTTACTTGGTTCGTTTTTAACACTGTAAATAGTTGTTTTTACTTTTTTTGCTGACAGTTTCGACCAGTGCTGCAATCTTATTCAGAGCTAGCCGCTGTTGGCGGTGTCACTTCCTTCTCCATTTGTCCGCGGGCAGCAGGAGATGGTGTCGCCCTCTGCTGTCCATACTCTCTGTGCCAATGGCACAGTCCTATGTGTGATCCAATGCGTAGACCCCATTGCCTCTGTTCATGGTTGTGTGTCCACGTCTTTTATCTGTGACTTCCTTCATCAATCTTAAGTATTTTTGTTGTTCTGTGTTTATGATCCTTGTTCTGTCCCGGTCCATTATGTGATTTTCCCTTGGACAGCGGTCTATTACAGCTGATTTTTTATTATGTTTTCTGCTTCTTGCTTTGCTGCTCTTGTGTGTCTTTGACTTGTTGCTTTTTTGCACTGTTTTCTATGTTCTTGTGTTGAGTTGACGTCCTGTTCCTCCTGTGTATACTTTATTGCATTTATGACCTGCTGATATCTTGTCTTTTGGGTGTACTGGTCTTTTTCTAACTGTTGTGTATGTTTTTGTTGGTGTGTTTTTGCTGTGTTTTTTTCATTGTCGCTAGTATTTTTTCTGTGATGGATGGAAGGGTTATCACTGGTTTTGGTCCTTGTTTTTCTGGATTTCTGGTTATTTGTTTCGGTTGTTCTTTACCTTCTGTTGTTGTTTTCCTTTGTTTATTGCCCATGTCGGATATCCGCAGGTCTTTAAAGTGTTTGGTATATGTTGGTCCTCTTGTTTACGGTCTCGTTCTTCGGTTATTGTGTTTTCTCTTTGGTATAATGTTCTGATCACTGACATTTTATGTATAGTAAGGTGTTCTGATGTCCACATGAGTCTGTGTGTGTTGGTTTCCTGTATGCGTTTGTGTTGTCTTTTATTTGCTTATTTTCATGTCCATCAACGTTATGCTGCCTTCTATTTCTTCCTCATATGCAAATTTTTGGGGGGTTTGTTCCATCGATATTTTTCAGGTGTCTCCGTTTGTCCTTTGGAATGATCTCCAGTATGCCGTCCACGTAGCTTTTCCATAATTTTATTTTGCAGTTTGGGGGGGCAGTGGCTGAGGCTTTTTGTTCTAGGTCCTCCATGAATTACTTACAAAGGGTGGTGATCATAGGTTACCCATGGCGAAGCCTTCCAGTTGTTTGTAAATTGTTCCATCGTATGTATGCGGCCTTTGCTACCAGTCCTATCAGTTGTGCTATGTCGTCTGTTGTGAGGTTTGTTCTTTTGTGTAAAGTCTTGTCCTGTCTGATTCTGTTTGCTACCGTGTCGATGGTTTTATGGGTTGGTGTTTTTGTGAACAGGGATGTGACGTCGTGTGAGATGAGTATGTCATTGTCTTCTATTGTAATCTTTTTTAGTTCTTTTGCCAGTTCTGTGCTGTTTTTGCAGTGTTTCTACAAAAGAATGATTGAGGAAGCCATATAAATAAGGAGACGTGGACACACAACCAAGAACAGAGACGTGTCGTCGGCGAGGGGAGTGAGGGCAGAAGAGGGCGACGCCGTCCTGCCCGTGGATAAAAGGAGAAGGAAGTGACATCGCCAACAGTGGCTAGCTCTAAAAATGACCGCAGCAGAGTTTGAAATGGCAGCAAAAAGGGTAAAGAAATAAAATAGAACTTTTTTCTGTGTTAAAAAAGGAGTCAAGTAAAGCAGTTAGGAAAAACACACAGACTGAACGCACAAAAGATGTTTGTGAATATGCTTAAACATAATAATCAAAACTAAGTTTAAACTGCAGCATTTTATTAGAAGTTGCTGCATTTAAAAGGGAGCATATACATTATTTATTATTAATTTATTTTTGTAGCTCTTGAAACAAAACAAAACATTTAATCCAGATTCTCTAAGGCTTTCAAACATATCAATAAAACTGTTTTCCTACACTGAAAGCCAAAACATGTTTTTAGAGAGTAACTTTCACAGCGATTACAGCAGACGGCAGACTGAAAATACGTTTTTGTTTTGAATTCAGTAGAATATGACAAACAGCAGCTCGTGCCATTCTACTCACAGTTGCTGTAATCTTAAGCCGATAAAAGGTACTCAGCGAGGTGTAATTGAGACGTCCCTTTAGCTTCACTTCACCATTAAACTGGCCAATCTCAAACAGATCCGATCCCTGAGTTGGTGTTACCTGGAAAAACACAACCATGAAACTTTGCACAATATCAGAACATAATAATGGTTCTAAATGAAATTGCTCACAGTGGAGTTTACCTCTGTGATGCGGTATGTGATGGGATTTCCATCGAGATCAGTGGCAGAGACTTTAAACAGATTGCTACCAATGGGTGCATTCTGAAATAAAAATGAAACAAATGCTAAAAATATTTAAAAAAAACACCCAGATAACGCAAATCCATTTCACTGAGCTTTAAAAATGGGCTACATGGTTAGAATATGTTAACAAAAAAGCTCAACTGCATCACTAATAAGAAACTTTTTTATATGATTTACTCACTTCTGGGACTGATATGTCATAGTTAGACTGGCTAAACAAAGGTATGTTGTCATTGGTGTCGTCTAGTATTATAATTAATGTTGCGGAAACCTGAAAGACATGTTTAAAATAAATGTGATTAATACTATAAAGAATAACTGGTAGTAACGGGAGGGGAACTTACGGGAGTGGTGCCATCAGAGACGGTAGCGTCCAGTGTGAGGGTAAAACTAGCCTAGAAGAGATGAAGTCATGCAACTTGTGAATATTCAACCAAAAATATGCTGTTTTATTCCCCCCTGTAAAGATTTCCTCATGACTAACACATCATACCTCTGTATCAAGAGGAGTTTTTACTGTGACTCTTCCAGTGTTTACTTCAACCTCAAAAAATGCAGCACTGACCCCGGAGATCGAGTAGGTCAGTGGGTCATTTTCTGGGTCTGTGGCATTTATAACAAATGCAAGTTCCCCTATACAAACAAAACCAATTTAACGTCTAGAAAAGGGGATTCACAATTGGTAGCACATGAAAGTTGACATTTTCAGTAGTCAGTTAGATGTATGTACCAACTGGGGTGTCTTCACACACGTGATGAACTTGACTGTTGAACGTGGGACTAAAATTGGCTGTAAAACAGAGAATATTAACATTAAATGGTGATGCAAAAAATTTTTTCACAAAAACTAAAATAAATGAAATGGTCACCTTTGACCGAGCTGACAAGGAGCAGTAGTATCCATCCTGTGAGCGCCATGTCTGAAACAACAGCCGCTAGAACGTTTAAAATTAAACGAGTCGGTAAAGAAAGGATACGGAGTGTAGCTTCATCTTGACTTTATGATGCCAAAGATGAAAAGCGGGCGTGTACAACCTCACACATCTGGAACAACAGACGTGTTGGGAACGACCCTCAGCTCCTAACACATCACATTTTAGCTCTAATTAGTTTACCAAATGGAGTTGAAGCCATCTTCTGTTTGCAGATGTTGCTTAAATGTGGACCATTAATGAGTTTAACTCCAGAAGTTAATCAGATGTAGCTGAACATCCAATTATGATTCTAACACACACTCCTGCTATCCAACAACAAAATGGCCGCGCTACATTTTCCTTTGACTTACGGAACTCTGGCACATTTAAGCACTTTGAAACCGAGAAACAGAAGAAAGAACGAATCCCAGCTTCTAAATCTGCAAACAAGCCAAGGAACATGCTTTTCTTTTCCTTAATGGAGTCAAGACTGACTACAGTTACAGTATAAATATATACCGTGTTACTGATATCTGTGTATTGTTCATACTATCTGGCACAGCAGGCTAATAAGTTTATTATAGGGTTTGAATAGAAATCAGCACAACTCCTGTCTCCCACAAACACAATCTTCTATTACTGTAAGCACATACAGATAAAGAAATCTTGAGGGCCAAAGAGCAACCTCCGGGTTCCAAAACCGATGAGTGATGTCACTCCGACCATAACCTTCACTTCATGCCCATTGCTTGTAACAACCAAGATCACCTGCCCTGATTACGAAAGTTAAAACTGGATAACAAATTGAATGTCTGACCACACCGAAACAATCGACAGGTGAAAAGTGGGTCATTTCCTTTTAGCTTAGATGTACAGAGAAGAGATGATTTACCTGAGAATGAGTTTGGTTATAGGTGATTGGCAGAAAAAGCTGTATAAGTAACAGGATTTAAAATAATTTCTTCTGATGAATATTTGCCTTACAGAAGTCCCCTCCACCACACACACACACACACACACACACACACACACAGGAATGAAATGAGAGGAATTTGACTTTCTCATTTGAGCTTTAAGAGCTAAACGTTGGTATTTTTAGTAGTTACGTTAATAAAACTGAATCATTAATGGAGTTGTGTTTTCTACATAGCTACTGTTGTCACTTTAATATACAAATAACATTTACTTTTCTAAAATCAGTTGTTGTTTAAATATGAGCTTTGTTCTGTAAATGTCTGAATCTTTTAAGAATTAGTGGCGGAATCAGAAATCCCTCGTTTCCTTAAAAACATTTAAAACGACAAATAGGAGCTTTGATCATGACAGCTGGTCGCTGAGGTGTTGGTAATTCAGAAAAACACAAAACAGCTGGAAGTGCCTTGCTCATTTGTTCAAGTCTGATTTAAACAGCAAATCTCAGTATCCACAAGACTGAGCATGTTAACGCAGTAACACCATTTTAAGTGGTTTGACACAGAGAAGGTAGCCTTACCTGGTGACCATCACAGACGGCTTCCTTATTCTGATTAGTGGGTAAGACCTTTGGCTCTTGTATCTCTGTGTCGTTATCACGTCAGCGTTGTAAACATAAATCATTAACAAACAACCAGCACCACCACTCTGAACGTCTCCCTGAAAAATAAACTCCCATCAAATAGAAAAAGTTCTAATTGTCTCTCTCAGCTGATTCTCGGTGAAGGACCCCAGTCCTGTGGCTTTGTGCCATTCTTGGTCTGAACCACAACCACAGAAGGCAGCTCGCTTCCCCTGAGTAAATTTGATGGAACCAGGGACCGTTAAAAACATTTCCAACCAATCGGTGGATTGGAGTCTTGTTTAGAAACCACAGATCCATCCCATAATGAGCCAGAGTTTCAGCATTGTCTCCTCTAATTAATGAGCCTCACACAAAGGATTGTGCTCTGGTATTCACCCTTAATCAGACATTCGCCTCCAAACGAAGTCAGACAGATCCTCTCAGCAGGAAAAGGGGGAATATTCAAAGTAGGAAAATACAGTTGGAAAAAGCTAAAGAAAGAGATCAGATGAAAAAAATAATCATTCAGGAAATTTTCAGAACAAACATTTAGACTGGGGGAATGAAAATTAGTTAGAGCACGTGGAAAACAAACAGAAGTGTGACTGAAATCCTTGTACAGGACAGTGTTCCCCTAAGCAAACTGTTTTGTTAATATGTTAGCAAGTATAAATACCATAAACTAACAATGTAGATGTACTGACTGTCTAACACGCTCTACAAATTGTTCACGTAAGGCTATGCAGAACGAACGTGGCACCTTTGCCTCCGGTTTGGATTTGGTATCAGATGAGAAACGTTTGTGCGGAGAACAACAAACTGAGTTGTTTGGAGAGAAACTTTTAAGAAATATATCATAAATAAATAAAATGTGTCAATCCAGAAAGTGATGACAGCCTTTCTGCTGCCTGGTTTTTCCAACAGGACTTTGGTTTATTGCTTACAATTTTGAACACAACGCCGCCTCTCTGAGCCAGCAGTAAGAGTATAAAAGGGTGGGAACATTATAAAATCCTTCTCAGACAGTCCCAGTAAATAGAAACATCATAATAAAAAAAGTCAATCTAATGTGATAAGCCAAATATTATCAGGGTCAACCATGGTGATGGAGCTCCACGCAGAAAAGATCATCAGTCGTAAAATGAAAAGGCAAAAAGAGTAAATCACAAGTGGTTATGAGATGAGGATGACAACTAACTTATTAAAAACCATGAAAAATAACAGGTAACATGACAAAGTAAGTTTAAGTACTAACACTACAGTCACATCCTTAGTTTTCTGTCTATGACAGGTACAGGTGTGTGTACGATTATCAGTTTTATTGCTTTGGACCTTTGCTTTCAGCCAGCTTGTTTCTCATCCTTCCAGTCCGCTGTCCCTGACTCCCTCAAGCAGATTACACAAAGCAACAACAACTTCCTTCTGTTTCTGTTTAAGGTTATAAATAATTGTTACCTTACCAGCTGTAGATAACTTCTTGAACAGCCTCAGTTTGGAGAAGATAAGTTTACACCCAGTGATGTATTAGCAGGGCTGTATGGTGGCCCTCTGATGGGCCGGTGACCTGTCGGGGTTAGGGTTAGTGAACGAGGCCTTTAAGGTGGCAACAGTACATTTTGGTCTCAACATTCATACACCAGTCAGTTCTGCAGAAACAATGTCTATTTCACTCAGCAGCAGCTGTTCAGGAAGCTTATGTAAACAGAAAGTGTTTGCTGTTTTTCAGTGATTTTCAATGGAACCAGCTGATAAAGCTGTGAAACTGCTGTTTTCAGCTTCAGAAAGGTTGATAGATGACAATAGATTAAAATGATGTCTTTTACACTCATTTCATAATAAATTGGCTGATGGCCTTCAAACAGAAACATGATGAAGTAAGGAAGCAGCAAAGAAATAACCGTCCTGAAGGTTTCATGCTTACAAGGTTCCTCTTTGTCTTATTGGACAGTTTGAGTGTTTGTCTTCAACATTTTACACAACCCTGTGTGAATGAATGAGAACATCTCTGTCACAAAGACATCAGGGATGAAAATGACTTGTCTGATTTCAGATGTGTTGGAATGTTTTTTTTAATCAAACTTTTGCCAGAATAAATAACAGGAAAATGGTTCCTGGGCCATTTTGTGTCCTAGACAAGCTTTGTAACTGACATGTTCATTAGTGGATGTCAAAAACAATTGACTAACGCTGAGCGCTGCACTCACTGGAGATCGCAAGTGTCTCTAAGGGACGAGGGATGGACTTAGCAGAAACAATTGTCCACAGACCCAGCCCCAGGGCAGCTGTGGCTACATAGTAGCTCACCGGCATCAGCAGTGTGTGAATGTGTGAGTGCATGAACAAAGGAAAGTGCTTTGAGTTCCTAGGAAACAATACTGTATAATATAGATCCATATATCTAAAAAAAGGATGGGAGGCAGATCTTTTAGCTATCGGGCTCCTCTCTTGTGGAACCAGCTCCCAGCTTTAGTCTGTGAGGCAGACACCTTGTCTACTTCTAAGAATAGGCTTAAAACATGTTTATTTGATAGGGCCTATGGTTAAAATCTGATGTTAGCCCAGATGTGGACAAGTGGGGGAGTAGAGGGAGGTGGAGTGTACAGTCGGTAAAGACGGCTCTCCCTTGCCCTGCCTCCAACATGCCTACATCTAAATAGGATAGAATATCCAGAGTTTTCTCTGTAGTTATGCTGCTATAGGCTTAGACTGCTGGAGGATACACTGACCACTTTTCACACTCTACTACTTTCTTCTACAATCTGCTCTTTAACTGTATTATTACCTGCTATTTCAGCTGTTAACTTTATTTTTTCTCTAAGTGTTTTTCTCCCCAGAAGAAGCTACAATGATGTTCTGCTGAGCTGTGGTGGCCTCATGGAGGGGGCCATCGTCTAGCACACTGCTGCTAACCACTTAAACATTTTCCCTCTCCTGATAATAACTTTTTGCTTTCCTTGACGTTGGATGTGTTACTACTAGTTTATCCGTTTAATTATAGATTCACTAGGATAAATAAAATAAAGTTTATCTTTCACCAAATAGAATATTTACTAAGAAATCACAATATAACCATAGAAACATTGCTGTGTGTGTGTGTGTGTGTGTGTGTGTGTGTGTGTGTGTGTGTGTGTGTGTGTGTGTGTGTGTGTGTGTGTGTGTGTGTGTGTGTGTGTGTGTGTGTGTGTGTGTGTGTGTGTGTGTGTGTGTGTGTGTGTGTGTGTGTGTGTGTGTGTGTGTGTGTGTGTGTGTGTGTGTGTGTGTGTGCTCTGTCTTCTCGATCCCCAGTGAGTCATGGAGGATGGCTGCTTATACTGAGCCAGGATCCTCTGGAGGTTTCTTCCTGTTAAAAGGGAGTTTTCCTCTCCACTGTCGCTACATGCTTGCTTAGTATGAGGATTGCCGTAAAGACACTGACACTAGTCAGTGACTCGATGCAACCTGCTGTATTCCTTGTTTAGGAAACTTTTTACTGATTGGCTTAATGAATTGACCTGTATTGGAATGTTTATTATGTGAAGTGCGTTGAGATGACTCTTGTCGTGATTTAAATTGAGGTGGTTTGGGCATCTGGTCAGGATGCCATCTGGAAGCCTCCCTGGGGAGGTGTTTCGGGCATGTCCTGCCAGCAGAAGGCCCCCGGGTCGACCCAGGACACGTTGGAGAGGTTACATCTCCAATCTGGTCCGGGAACGCCTTGGGGTCCTGCCGGAGGAGCTGGTGGAGGTGGCCGGGAAAAGGACCGTCTGGAGCTCCCTAGTTGGGATGCTGCCCCCGTGACCCGGACCCGGACCCGGATAAGCAGAGGAAGACGATGATGAAGACGACGATAAATAAAATTGAATTGAATCCATTTATTATTATTGTTGTTGGTATTATTGTTGTTGTTTTTATTCTTCTTATTATTTTTATTATTATTTTCATTGTTGTTGTTTTATTATTAGAGTTCAAAAAGGGTTTAATAAAATGATCTATGTTTAGAGTTTAGGAAATAATTTGGTGATTTCTGAGTTTAAAATGCATTTTAATGTGACTCAGTAATGTTTATAAAGGGGAGGCTCCAACTCAGAGAGGCAGAGGACAAAAGATTCTTCATATGAAGTTGTTAATTTGCTGCTGTGTCCGTGATCTCCAGCTACTAAACCAACTCATCTAGAGAAGAACTGATTAGCTCTTGTTCTGTGAGACTGCCAGGCTTAAGTTTGGACTTTTGGACAAGAGCTTGTTTGTGGCACAGAGGAGGATCAGAGCTCTGGAACAGCAACTCGCTGGGTTTGTCTTTGTCATTCAGTATTAACTCCAACCCACAAAGATGGTGTCAGCATGTATGTTTGTAACAAAAGACGGAAGAACAGAAGAAACATCTCCTCAGTCTCTTGCTGGCAGACCTGGAGGCTCGAGCTCTTTTTGGGATGATGTTGCCTGTATGGGCCGTAGCTGATAACAGGTCACTGATGTTTATTGGAAAGGTGCACTTTGTTTGTCCTTTTGGAACACCTTTAAAATAAATTAAAACACCACCTTGGAACTTTCACCCAAGTAGTTCTGTAAAAATCTGCCTGTTTTGGTTAGCTTGAATACCAGTTGGCGGCTTCATTGACCAACTCGCTCCAGGCCAGAGGAGCAGGTTCCCAAACAGAACCATCAGTGCAGCAGTCAGGATCAGCACCTGCCATCATCCTCGTCCCAAGGCTCTCCACTTGGTGCTGGGAGCAAACAATATCCATGATCCTGCATCTGGACCACGCCCAAAACACCATCCCACTCCAAGCAGGGTGGAAATCCTTTACCCATTTGGCCCTTCCAAGGGAGCGATGGGACACCGCCGCAAGGTGCCTGCTCAAACATGGAGATTGATGAGAAAAATATTAAACACATAGCTGTTGGGTGGCAGCATGGACACTTCTATCTCATAGGGTCCAGGAACTGCTAAAATTTGAGAATATTTATTTATTGTTTTACTTTATGATAAATGACCCGCACTTGTATAGCGCCTCTCAGAGTAAGGACTCCAAAGCGCTTTACACTACAGGGGATGAGCTATGATGTAGCCACAGCTGCCCTGGGGAGCAGTGACAGAGGCGAGGATGCTGAGCACAGGCGCCAACGGTCTGACCACCACCAGCAGGCAAGGTGGGTTATGGGCCATTCCCGTCTGTACCGGGTCGGCCTGGGCCGGGTAGCGTAGGTTGTTTACATATCTGGGTGGCCTGGCATTTTTCTGGGCCAACCAAGGCTCATTCTCAGCCCTCTTCTCGAGGGGGTCTGCTTCAGGCTGACCAGGGCCAACACACCCACTGCTGACAGCAAATTCACACCTTCCATTAGAGCAAGCCTCTGATTGGTGGGTAGAATCAGCCCACATGGGCTTAAGGCAAGGATGTGTGGAATCAACCGGACCAGGCTAGGGCCGACTGGGGGCTACCCGGCCCGGGTCGACCCGGTACAGATGGGAATGGCCCATTAAGTGTCTTGCCCAAGGACACAACAGCATGATTCTCTATCCGGAGCCAGGATCAAACCTGCAACCTTCCGATTACTGGCCAACCCGCTCAACCTGTTGAGCTACTGCTGCCCTAATGTGCCCTTTATGTGCTTTTTGGTAACACACTAGTGAAATTAAAACCAGAGAGTACATAGATGAAATGTTATGTTTATCCACAAAAAGATAGCAACCCTCCACCACCTTTACCAGACTCTGAGGACTCTGTGCTGCCTTCCTGAGATCCTTGCTACGCTGTTTCATGATAATCACTAATAACTGTATCATAGTCCCAAATGAAATCCACAAAGGAGGTCACGTTTTGCTGCTATTCATCTCTCTGACTGAGCTTTAGTTGGTTCATGTTTCTGATTTCCAATTAGGAAAAAACATTTCCAACCAATTTTTCACTTCTTGAGCATCTTTATTGTGCTCTTTTTTTTAATTACCTGGACTCTTCAAACATGGACTGGATTATTCAGCACTAATAATAGAGCCCTTTAAATTTGGTCTGCAATTTGTAAAAAAATATTTGGGCTTTCTTTCTGAGAATGAAATAGTGTTTAAATGTACTTAATTAAATTTTACAGTTCTGGCAGGGCAGCTCACCTATACGGATCCTAGAATCGCCCCTAGGTGGCAGCAATCGGCATGTTTTCAACTCCCCAACCAGTCAAACAAGATTCACTTCCCATCGCCTTACAAAAATAATTTACATTTAAATTGCTGTTTAATAAAAAATGTTGCAGAATTTCACTCATTTTTTTCACTGATGACAAAGATGCCTGATAAGTCTGTATCCCTTCTCTCCTTTCTGGGAACAAATCTTGAACTTTGAGGTTTTTTTTAAAAGAACTTTATTTAGGAACTTTATAAACAAACAAACATGACATTTTGGAAATGTTAAATCCAAAAACTAATTCAAAATGAGACGTTAACATGCTATGACATTAGTAATTCAAAATTAAATGAGCTAAAAAATAAAAGAGAGAAAAAACACATAAAGAAGTAGAGCACAGCTTCCAATGAGGGTATGGCGTTTATTATATAATTAGGAAGTCTCTTTTGGAAGTTCAGCTAATATGTTATAAACATTTTCGTTATATTTGTTAATGTGTTTCAGGGACTTTAGATATAATTGAAATTCAGTTTTTAAAACATTAAAGACAGGGAATGCTTTTAAAAATCGTTGTTTATGGATAAAAAAATGTGGCTAAACAGTACTTTGGAGGTATACTGCGACTTTTTCTGTCCATTACGGTAAATATGGCTGCCCGGCGCGTTCTCCCGTCCTTGTACAGCGTTTTAACGGGGGTGTGAGGGGAACCGCAGAAACCCCAAACATGTACAAGGCTGGATTTAACGTCCTAAACTAAAACGTCGCTTTAATGGAAAGAATCTGTGGAGTTTCAAAGCCATATTTTGGCACCGTGCACGAGCGGAATGTAGTGAACCTGTGGGATGCTGAACATTAGCTACCTTCCTTTTCCCCAGCAGTGGTGAAACCCGGGAATGTTCCACACGGTAACAGCTGGCCGCTTAGCATGACGAGATGTGATCATTACGAGAAAAACATCAGTGATCAGATGGTTGCTTGTTAAAAATCAGGTAAATGCACAAGTTGTTTACGTCGCTGTTGTTTCACTCTCAAAAGCTGTGTAGCGTTTTCGTGGGAAGTGGTTCTGACGGCTTGTTGGTGCTGTCATCCTGCTCAACCTACAGCCCCTCCTTGTTTTGCTGCTCCCGAGCGCGATGGTGTAATGTTTACATTCCGCGTGCGACTGCTCCTGTCCTCGGGTTTTAGGTGCACAGAGTAGGTGCATTCATAAACACTAGAACGTCCGGCGTGTCTGTTTTGAAGCATCTACATCAAACTATTACTTAGTAACTCTCACAGGTTGATTTGGGCCTCAGTTAGGCCTAAACTATGGTCATCATCAGAAGTAATACATTTTGCAGCTGAACTTAGATTATGATGTGTAAGTGATCTGTCGTTAAATGCAGAGGGGTCCTCGTGCAAGTGCAATATTACATAACCAGTATAGCTGTGGCCTCCAGTGAGAATCATCATACACACACTCTTGCCTAGGAGTGTCTTCTACAAAATAAAATGTAATTCAGTAGGTTGATCTTTTTGTGGCTAAAAGAAAAATGTAAAGAAGTGATTTAAATGACGTTGGGAATCAATAAAACTAAAATCTGTACGTGGAAAATTCACCTGAGCGATGAAAACAATCCTGTTTTAGGCTTTGTAATAGATTTGTGCTTTTCAACACTATAAATGTTTATGTAGTAGCCTCTTTCCCCTCAGTTTTAAGTTGTAAATAATCTTGAATGCATGTAAAGGAAATGGAAAATACAATGATAAGTGATCACACACACACACACACACACACACACACACACACACACACACACACACACACACACACACACACACACACACACGCACACACACACACACACACACACACACACACACACACACACACACACTTTTCCCTCTCAAACAGAGGGATGATTCAAAACTGCATCGATGGCTAATTAAAGTAGATTTTAATGTGTTAGAAAATCTTCAAGAGCTGCTTGTTTTGATAACACTGGTTGACGGCCGTCTGTGTTTGCTGCGCGCTGATTGGTCGCCCCCTCAAAGGGGCGTGGTTTTGTCATAACAATACATTTGAAGAAAACACACGCGCCAAGGAATGTTTAATGTCGTTGGGATTTTAGCGTTTCTTTTGTCAGGTCTAACCGTGTTGTGTGCTCAGGTAGACACAGTCGTTAACTAGCAGCTCTCGTGTGATTTACCGGAGAAAAGAAAAACTAAATAAACGCACAGCCTATTCAGCAGGCGAGAGCGTATTAGCTTGCTAACGGTTAGCAAGCTAATACCAGTTCCGTTGAGGATAATTCTTGTTAAAAGGCTCTCGGACAAGACTGTAGTAAATTGTTGCCCCTGCCCTTTTTATTTTCTGTTGGAAGATTATGTCGGGTTAAACTTGGTTTTATTCAAACGTGATTTGATGTGACACGGCATTTTGGTGGATAAAACACCTGCAGTTTACTCCCATGACCGAGGAAGCAGAAATCTAGCCAAGTAAGCTTTGTGTTAAATTCTTAACATACTGCTTCACCAGTTTGTGGCTATGCTACGTTCATATTGTATACATGCTGTGAAAGCTTTGCTCTATATACGATTTATTAGCATGCTGGTCGTGTTGGACAAAGCGTTAGCTTAGCGCTGCTAAAGTTAGCAGCTCTCCTTCAGTAGGGGACGTTACGTTTACTGGTCAATTTAAGCTAAAGCTTGCTATAGTATGTTAGATTTTATTTTATTGGAGATGCACTCACGGTTTAATCTAACTCTTGTAACAAATAGCGTCATGGTGCAGGGGTTTGCTAAACTGTAGGATGGCGAGCGGTCCAGCCATCATACCACATCTTTTGTTGTTGCTTTGTCTCTTGAGCACATGGCTTCCCATGTTTTTGTCCATACAGGCCACAGCGACCCCTATTTATTCAGTAGTAACATGGTGATTAGCTCAATTTGCAGGTAATGTTGAGGCTTTGCGTCATGAATGATCAATGGTTTCATCGTGTGTAACACATTGCTTTTACAAGTGCTGCAGTTAATGTTAACAAGTATAGTTATAGTTGTAAATATTGAGGTTATTAAACATGTCAGTAAAATACAACCTAATATCAGTTTAAATACTTGTTCAGTGTTTGTTTCTCTTTGGATTTTATCATTTTATTTTTAGAAACTCACGTTTTTTGTCTTATGACAGAATATGTTCTGAAAAATAAAAACAAAACATTTAATTGAAGGGGGTTGGGGGGGCTATAGTTTATCATTATTTCAGTATTAGGAGCCTGTTTTTATAAATTGCACTTTTTTAAGTTAGAAATGATGAAATGTAACATAAAATAAATCAATTTTCTTAACAATAAGTTATATATTACAAAGACATCCACATTGTTGCCACATTTTGCCACTTATTACTGCATATAAAGGTATATACTTGTCGTTTTTCTAGATATGTTAGTTAATTTAAAGAAAATATGTCTCTAATGTCCCACAGGCACTTTTATTTATTATATATTTATAATTAATGCAATAATTTAAATTCTATGTTGAGGTGGCTCATATCCTATCACCCACAATATTACCAGTATTTATTTATCGTCTAGAGAGAAAAAAACCATCTTAAGCTAAGTTCATGATACATTTGCATCCTCTACTCAGAAGATTACACTCTCACTATATATTAGGGTTGTGTATTGGTGAAATTCTGGTGATGCGATACAGGGGAGACGATACAATATTAGGGCTAACCACAAAAGACTATTTTAATAGTTGACTAATCATGTCATTTATACAAGTACAGCTTATTGCATCAGGATGCTGTAAGATGCCCTGCATTAGCTTCTAGTCTGAAGTGTGACCAACTATAATAAAGACAAGATGCTAGCTTATCAAACAACTTTAATTAACTTTGTTACCTGTTAATACAAATGCTACAGTCCAATGGAGGTAGGCACCTGAAACCTCTCCACTGTCGCTGCATGCTTGATTAGTATAAAGATTGCTGTAAAGACTGACACCAGTCAGTGACTTGATGCAATCTGCTGGATTCCTTATATAGGAAACTTTTTACTTATTGCTTAATGAACTGAACTAGCTTGGCAAGCCAGCCATTGACGGCTGTCGGCCATGCGGCACGTTCTACCAAATGCTACTGGACAATGAACCACATGATGTACTCACCGCAACGGATGTAAACGAGGCAGTCCACTGTTGAAGAAGGCAAACCTACATCCCTTTTTTTTCTGAAAAAAACTAATATACATCTATCTGCTCCTGATTCTAATAAAACCCCAGTCCAAATAGTCCAAAATTGATGTAAAAGCCATTCAAATGAGCTGTCGCCATCTTGTTCCACTCAGTTGCAGAGTGCCTTGATTGGCCCACAAATCGGATAAAGCTCTGTGATTGATTAACAAAGCAGGTAGAGCGCTGTGATTGACCCACAATTATGGACCAATCACAGCTCTATGTGTTTGAAACTCCTATAGAGAACTGTGATTGGCCAGCCAGAATGCCACTAGGGGCTGCAGATGTTCCAGTGGAGCGTTCCTAGACCAAACTTTGCAAAGCAAGAATTTGGTCTAGTTCACTGGGCTAGAACTGAACTGTATTGGAATGTTCATTATGTGAAGTGCCTTGAGACGACTCATGCCGTAATTTGGATATATATATATATATATATATATATATATATATATATATATACTTCTAAATAAACTAGACTGTGCGCTCATTAGCATGCTGGGTTTAACTTGTGGTTGTGTTTTCACAGGGTTACGACAATCAGAGGCAACATACAAGTGCCTCCACAATAAGGTTTCCTTTCCCAGAACGTGACTCGTCTGTACGACGTCACAAATGCGACCATGGGAAATAGCAGTAAATAGGCTGCCACCAACAGCCCCCTTAAACCCAAGGAGGTTCCTTGGAGATCCCTGCAACGCCCCCGTGCATCTCAGGAGAAGGTAAAACACCTGCTCTCAATATCCTTGAAACTTTTTTGTGATTCCTGAACTTTTACTTACTTTTACCATCAGTTTTGCATCACAGTTTTTACCTGATTTCTACCAAGTTTAGCAGCTGTCTCGAGAGGGTGCTCGCTGCAGAACCACAAAGGCGGAGCTGCATCATAAGGTGGAGCTGCACCAGAGTCAGCCCCGCCCATTCACGCAAACTCAGCCTAGCCCACTGACTTCCGTTTTTGTTTTCAACTTTATCGCAAACTGACCTGACCCACATGAATTACGGCTGTTACTAGTTTACAGTCGTTAATGCTATGTTCTATTCTCCAATTAAACAAGATAAATATAACTTGCTACATGACAAAGACTGAATATATCTCGAAATGAAAAGGCTTTTCTCAGCGAATATCTGCCCACAGCCGGTCTAACAGAAATGGTGTATAACAGCAGTACAGACTTTTGAATGGGCTTTGGTAGTCTAGTGGTGAGATCGTCTGAGTTAAATTTTGCTTTCCCCTCAGCTGATGCTGGTTCGATTCTCGGTGGGGTCGTCAGCAATCTATTTAGCCAGCTGAAACATTTAATTTGTTTATATTTTAGTTGTAATGTTTATTTTCAGCAAAATATTTATGTCTGTAAAAGTTCTTTGAATTTGGTCGTTCCTAAACAGCATTTTAGTTGAAACTCTGCTCACAAATGGACTCACACTGGCTAAATAAACGAATAAATAAATAAAAAAAACACATTAGTCATTATATGTTAAACTGTATACCAGTAAATTGTTGTAAACATAGTACTGGCAAGTGTAGCTAGAAATGAAGAAAAGAGGTTGTACACTACCTAAAACTTACAGTAATGGGAGGCGAACCTGCACAAAACTGCATGTAAACCTGACTCCACAACCACTACACCACCACATCTGTTATAACTCATGCGGCGTTACATCTAATTGTGCTTCCCAGTGTGTCTCTGAGATGGGATGTATGGTTTTTCGGCGGTGTCTCAGTAGAGGTCATTTCAGAAATAATTTGTCAGAAAATTCACAGAATATCCAGATTTGAGAACCAAGACCAGACCCGCTTCGGGGGAGGAGACCAAATTGAAGCTGAGATGGGAGGAAAATGCATGAATGAGGCTAAAAATTGCTTTGGCGTGTTTCTTATGAGGAAATGACAATATAACATGATTAAAAGTTCCAAAAGTTAGATTTTCAATTATATGGAACCTTTACAAAAACTGTTCAATTAACTTCTCAACTCCATCCTCAATCTTGCATTTTTTAGCTATAACACCCTCTTTGGTTCCAGAATGCTATCAAGTCTGACAACTGGAAGGAATTGGACTGACTCTGATGGAATGGGCGGGGCTGACTCTGGTGCAGCTCCACCTTCTGGTGCAGCTCCGCCTTTGTGGTTCTGCAGCGAGCACCACTTGGCTGTCTCCAGTGCAGCGAGGGACACCTAGGAACCAGTAAGACCATGGTTTCTGTGGGCTTGCAAAAGGTAGCAGATGAGATGAGCTACCCATGAAAATGGCAAACACAAAAATTATTTTGCAATAAAGAGATCTAAATGTGGGTCTAGGGAGACGGAACAGGACCTGATCACTACCGCCTGATAAACCTATATGAAAACAATTACAAACCCAACAAAATCTCAGACATGCTCAAGCAAACATGTCAAATTTTACTTACATGTTCAATCAGCTGCGGGGTCTTAAAAAGTCTTTAAAGTCTTGAATTTGATGAAAGGAAAATTAAGACCCTTAAAAAGTCTTAAATCGATTTAGTAAAGTCTTAAATTTGGTTCGTATTGACGTGATTTTAAAATACGTTCGTCTCATACTTGCAAACTTGACGCTTTTCAGCGAAAATTGTCGTTTATGAAACCAAATTCGTTCACGTGAATCAAGAGTTTTTGTTTTAGGGAAGGTGAGTCTTTGGTCGGGTTTCAGTCGCTCCTCATAAGAATCAGTTTCAGAAAAATAAGGAGTGTTCATCGTCTTCACAAACCATCTTTGTTAGTGGGTCATGAGTCGCCATTTGACCAATCACAGTCGCAGAGACAGCTAGGGGAAGACACGCTGCGGTTGCTGGTATCACGGCGCCGCTACTACTGTCGCTTCAACGTCTCGCTGCGGCTGGAGCTTAAATTTCGTAAAATCATCAAAATGCCCTCCAGATATGTCAGTTTTCTGTCCAGAACTTTAGCAGATTTGTCTCCTTTCTGTTTCAGCCCAACGGGTGTTTCCCGAGGCTTGTGTTGGTGAAAAACCGCTTTCCCAGTAATTAGACAGGTCCATCTTAACCTTAAGAAGATTCTGACAGACAAGCTGCTGCGGTTGTTGCTTCAGGTGCATTCAGGCTAAACCCTTTAGGCACGTCTTCCCTACATGTTATAAAAGAGATTTGAAATCAAGAAGAAGACAAACTTGCAAAACAGCATGGATCTGTTCTTAATGAGATGTTATTAGTGGAAAATAAACATTAAAAAAGATGTTTCTGGTACTTTTACCATCATTCTGTTGTAGAAAGTCAGCACAAATATTCAGTGAAAACTTTAAAAAGCTGCTTAAACCTTCATTATTTTATAGCGGGCCTGTCTATATTTATAAAATCAGTTGATTGTTTAAAGTAACTGTAACTAAAGTTACTCAGAGCCGCTGTAGAAGGTCCAGTCTGAGTTAAGCTGTGGTAGCTGGAGAGGAACTGAGAAACTGCATTAAAGCTTTTGCTGTTTGCTTGTTCAAGTTTCAGTGAAATAGAATATATAAAACATCAATTATATAATAAGTGTATGTATATTTAACAGTCATGTTCGAGATAAAAGGCAGAATAGATAAGAAAAGAAACATTTTAACTTTATCTGGTTATGTTGAAGCTTCGCGTCCCACAGTGAGCAGTCTCTGTCCCACATGTGGGATCTGCTCATCCTACTGAAGAATGATTACAGTCATTTGGAATATTTTCAGATGTTTTTATGTTTGGTGTTTAGTGAATTAGTCTCATAATAATAGTTAATTATTATATGATGATCCCTAATCATTATGTGATTAGTTATTTCAGTTTATTAGATTTAGCTCTCTTGAACAGTAGGACTGGTAGAAAACTGCTTGCATTTAGCAAAAACATCACATAATTTTTTTATATTCTCAATAAAATAAAAGAATATCAATGTCAGAGGTCACTAGAAAACCCACTGTAGAATAGATGCACACCTGCAGCACGCGAGGACCTTGTTTGAGGGGAGTTATTTTAGTTGTCACTTTTTTTCACAGCCTCGGAGTTCGTGGGTATGAAAAATAGATGCATGTAAACAAAAAATCTATATATTTTGTTCTTCTATGCGCACGGTTAGCATTTTAGTACCACGTGGCTTTACGTGTTATTGCTACAGCCTCGCTGTCCTGGATGTGACGTAACCCAACACGAAGTGGAAAATGAAGTGATGCAGTATTTAAAAACAATATGAGTGTTTAACAATTAGTTCTTTGCGATACTTGTAATTTTATTTTTACAAGGTCTTAAAAAGTCTTGAAAAAGTTTTAAATTGAAGTTTGAGATTCCTGCATCTACCCTGGATCTCAATCCTAATTTATCTCTGAGCTCTTATGATTCAGAGAACTCCCGATGTTTACCCTTGTTTGACCTTGTTGTGATCGGACGTTCTTTTTCTTTTTAGCTTCATCAGATGAGTGTTTCCTTTGTCCCTTCTGAGGTTCTGCCATGATGAACACGTTACTTTAATTACTTGTCTGTTCTGAGGTGTAAACATGGATTGCCATAAAGCGTGACTTTATGAGACTTCAGGGGAGCGGTGCAGATACTCGGAAGTTGCAAGTGTGGTATTCTGGCCACAAGGGGGCGTAGGGGGTTGAGAGACTTTTCATTAACCCTGTAAATGGTCATTTTAGCTGATACTGGTTCAGTTAAAGGATTTAAAGACATGAGAAAGTTGCAAAGTATGCCTTTACTTCCTATTATTTAATGAATAGTTGTGTACCCTTTCTTCTGTGCAACCTCATAGTACACCCGTGAGACGCCAGTGGGGAAGAAGAGACAGGCCTGTGCTGCACTCTTCCTCGGTCCAGGATGAGAACTTCCACCAACTGCTTTTCTCCCAACATCCCCAACAGGTTCCTTTAGATGAGTCTAGGCAGTACAGCCACACCAGCACAGCACCCCGCATGCTTCACCCTGCTGCCCACCTGCCCCCGCAGAGCCCCATCATGGTGGATCTACACGACCAGGTACCACTAATAATGCACGCCTTGCTTTCTGCTCTGATCCGTTGCTTTACGTAACAATATCTGGTAAGATCTAGCGATAGCTCCCATTAGCAGTACTATTTTAACATATTTGCTTCTGTTATTGGCAAATTTAAAATGACCCCATTTCTCCATCCACTTCTAATCTCAAAAGATGCACCAGGGATCCGTTCCAATATCGTACACTGTTACAACGGTGACGACCCATGGATTCCCCATCCACACCGGGCAGCCCCTCCCAGGGTGCAACACTCAGCAGCTCCCAGCATGCTCGGTAATGTTCAGCGGACAGCTCTCTCTGCTCTGCTGCCTTCCTCCTCCTGTGAGTTTAAAAAGGAAGAGCTTAAATGTCAGTGGCTTCTATGTAGCAGCCATGCAGTCTGTCACTGTTCATGATAGGAAGCTTGGTGTCTGTGTTAATATCAGCTAAACTATAGATTGTTCTGAGGAAATTCATATTTGTGGAAACGTGGGTGTCGTGGCCCAGACTCGTGTTGTGCTGATACTGTTGTTTGATGAACTGATTAGCTTTGATGCTGCTGTTAAAGCATTACTGTGAATGTTAGACCAGGTGAGATCTGTATGATTAAATGCGTGCCGGTTCTTCTGTTGCTGTCTTCTCCCCTCAGCTCATTCAGGCATGTACCATGCAGCATATTCCTGTGTCTTATCAAGCCTTTCCGCCGCTGATCTCCAGCGAACATTTTGTATTGCACCCGACCCCATCGGTACCTCCACACCAGCCGCCGCACCTTGCTCCTTTGAGCCAGTTTGTCCCTTTACAGCCTCAGCACCCACGCATGGTGAGTTTGTCACATTAGACTCACGTTTCCTACAAACACTGGGCACATAAAATCATCTAGCAACAAGCTCTCATGTCTCCCTCCTTAGCCTCTACAGAGGGTAGAGAATGAAGTTGACCTAAGAGGAGACCAGCACCCACTAGGCACCTTCTCCTACCCTCCATCTCATCACCAACCAGCGCTGCCTCCTTCACTGCCCCTACAGTATCTTCCTCAAGAGCCTCTGCATCAGGAGCTTCCCTTTGGAGTGGTGAGATAACCCACTTACACATTTCTATTTCCAGTTGAACTTTTTTTTTTACCATGGCCCATTTCACACTTAGTCAGTGACATACATTCACAGCTGGGGGTGTTAAAGGTGTGGAACACTGAAAAAAATCTTATTTCTGATTATCAGTAGGGATGTCCTGATCCAATCGCATGATCGGAAATCGGCCCGATCACGTGGTTTCAGACTGATCAGGACTCGGGCTTTACTTCCCGTTCCAAGCCCCGATTCGGACTGGATACTGGGTTCAAATTACAGGAGAGCAACTTGGTTCTCCTAAAGGTTGTCAGGCTCCCCTGATGCCCTTAGTTTAAACACCCAGAAGGAGCACAAAGAGATCCAGTTCCTACCCATAATGTATTATTATATAGACTCAGCGAGGCAGACGGGACAGGAATGTCAGAGACAGACAGGACAGGAAGATCAGAGACAGACGGGACAGGAAGATCAGAGACAGACGGGACAGGAAGATGAGAGACAGACGGGACAGGAAGATCAGAGAGACGGGACAGGAAGATCAGAGACAGACAGGACAGGAAGATCAGGGACAGACGGGACAGGAAGATCAGAGACAGACGGGACAGGAAGATCAGAGACAGACGGGACAGGAATGTCAGAGACAGACGGGACAGGAAGATCAGAGACAGACGGGACAGGAAGATCAGAGACAGACGGGACAGGAAGATCAGAGACAGACGGGACAGGAATGTCAGAGACAGACGGGACAGGAAGATGAGAGACAGACGGGACAGGAAGATGAGAGACAGACAGGACAGGAAGATCAGAGACAGACAGGACAGGAAGATCAGAGACAGAAGGGACAGGAAGATGAGAGACAGAAGGGACAGGAAGATCAGAGACAGACGGGACAGGAAGGTCAGAGACAGACGGGACAGGAAGATGAGAGAAGACGGGACAGGAAGATCAGAGACAGACAGGACAGGAAGATCAGAGACAGACAGGACAGGAAGATCAGAGACAGACAGGACAGGAAGATCAGAGACAGACAGGACAGGAAGATCAGAGACAGACAGGACAGGAAGACGAGAGACAGAAGGGACAGGAAGACGAGAGACAGAAGGGACAGGAAGATGAGAGACAGAAGGGACAGGAAGATCAGAGACAGACGGGACAGGAAGATGACAGACAGACGGGACAGGAAGATGACAGACAGACGGGACAGGAAGATGACAGACAGACGGGACAGGAATGTCAGAGACAGACGGGACAGGAATGTCAGAGACAGACAGGACAGGGAGATCAGAGACAGACGGGACAGGAAGATCAGAGACAGACGGGACAGGAAGATCAGAGACAGACGGGACAGGAAGATCAGAGACAGACGGGACAGGAATGTCAGAGACAGACGGGACAGGAAGATCAGAGACAGACGGGACAGGAAGATCAGAGACAGACGGGACAGGAAGATCAGAGACAGACGGGACAGGAATGTCAGAGACAGACAGGACAGGAAGATGAGAGACAGACGGGACAGGAAGATGAGAGACAGACGGGACAGGAAGATCAGAGACAGACGGGACAGGAAGATCAGAGACAGACAGGACAGGAAGATCAGAGACAGACAGGACAGGAAGATCAGAGACAGAAGGGACAGGAAGATCAGAGACAGACGGGACAGGAAGGTCAGAGACAGACGGGACAGGAAGATGAGAGAAGACGGGACAGGAAGATCAGAGACAGACAGGACAGGAAGATCAGAGACAGACAGGACAGGAAGATCAGAGACAGACAGGACAGGAAGATCAGAGACAGACAGGACAGGAAGATCAGAGACAGAAGGGACAGGAAGACGAGAGACAGAAGGGACAGGAAGACGAGAGACAGAAGGGACAGGAAGATGAGAGACAGAAGGGACAGGAAGATCAGAGACAGACGGGACAGGAATGTCAGAGACAGACGGGACAGAAATGTCAGAGACAGACAGGACAGGGAGATCAGAGACAGACGGGACAGGAAGATCAGAGACAGACGGGACAGGAAGATGAGAGACAGACGGGACAGGAAGATCAGAGACAGACGGGACAGGAAGATCAGAGACAGACGGGACAGGAAGATCAGAGACAGACGGGACAGGAATGTCAGAGACAGACGGGACAGGAAGATCAGAGACAGACGGGACAGGAAGATCAGAGACAGACGGGACAGGAAGATCAGAGACAGACGGGACAGAAATGTCAGAGACAGACGGGACAGGAATGTCAGAGACAGACGGGACAGGAAGATGAGAGACAGACGGGACAGGAAGATGAGAGACAGACTGGACAGGAAGATCAGAGACAGACGGGACAGGAAGATGAGAGACAGACAGGACAGGAAGATCAGAGACAGACAGGACAGGAAGATCAGAGACAGAAGGGACAGGAAGATGAGAGACAGAAGGGACAGGAAGATCAGAGACAGACGGGACAGGAAGATCAGAGACAGACGGGACAGGAAGATGAGAGAAGACGGGACAGGAAGATGAGAGACAGACAGGACAGGAAGATCAGAGACAGACAGGACAGGAAGATCAGAGACAGACAGGACAGGAAGATCAGAGACAGAAGGGACAGGAAGATGAGAGACAGAAGGGACAGGAAGATCAGAGACAGACGGGACAGGAAGATCAGAGACAGACAGGACAGGAAGATGAGAGACAGACGGGACAGGAAGATGAGAGACAGACGGGACAGGAATGTCAGAGACAGACGGGACAGGAATGTCAGAGACAGACGGGACAGGGAGATCAGAGACAGACGGGACAGGAAGATCAGAGACAGACGGGACAGGAAGATCAGAGACAGATGGGACAGGAAGATCAGAGACAGACAGGACAGGAAGATCAGAGACAGACGGGACAGGAATGTCAGAGACAGACGGGACAGGAAGATCAGAGACAGACGGGACAGGAATGTCAGAGACAGACGGGACAGGAATGTCAGAGACAGACGGGACAGGAAGATGAGAGACAGACGGGACAGGAAGATGAGAGAAGACGGGACAGGAAGATGAGAGAAGACGGGACAGGAAGATCAGAGACAGACAGGACAGGAAGATCAGAGACAGACAGGACAGGAAGATCAGAGACAGACGGGACAGGAAGATCAGAGACAGACGGGACAGGAAGATCAGAGACAGACGGGACAGGAAGATGGAAAAATAAAAACCAAGAAAACAAAACAAAGTTCTTAAAACAATTAAATGTGGGTAGATTGATCCCACTACACGTGTGTACCTGTATAAAGCAATACTTTGTCAGCATGTAGTATTTATATAGTTGATAATTCAGATCATCTTCAAAACTCCGTCCCATGCCCAGGGACGTATCTAAGCATTTAGGGGGCCGAGGCAGAATAGACCCCTGCCAGGTGTTTTAAGTTGAATTGCTATCTGTTTTTATATTAGACTTTTTATATTTCCAATAAAGTCCAAAAGTTAAGAATTTATGTTATTTATTACTTGGTTGTTTAAGCTACCTCACAGAAGTGATCTGTTGTTAAACATTAAAATAAAAAGGTAATTACATAATTATAATATAATTACAATATTATATAATTACAAAATACAATTAAATCAAAAAAAGGAACATTCTGGAACAGTTTCTTCCTTTTTTTTTTTTTAATGTATCGAAAGTATCGAATCGGGACTCGGTATCGGCAGATTCTCAAAATCAAGTGACTTGGACTCGAGGGCAAAAAAAACCTGATGGGGACATCCCTAATAATCAGTCACTCTGAGCGGCAGGCTGAACAAGAAAATAGTCTCCTACACCTACCTCCTGCATTAGCCTCTGATAGAACAGTGAACAGTGAAACTCTACGATTGAAAAGCCTGACAGATCTACATCACACTGTCACTGAACATTCATAGACTCACCCATTTCAGGACAGAGAAGGCTGTTGTTGGTTTAGCATCCAGGAAGCAGCAGAGAACATCTCGGCTAGTAGAAGCTAACTGTTAGCATTAGCAACTCCACCACACAGCAGAACTCCTCCAGGCTTGTGTTATTTGTAGAGAAAACATTAGCGTTGCAGAGCAAATGAAGTCAGTGGTAGAGTCGTGTTGCTCTTATCCAATCAGAGAGGAGATGGCCGATTATTGGGAAATGAGACTCCAACTGCTGCCGTCTGAGGCTTTGTTCTCCTCCAGCTGAATCGTACTTCCTGAAACAGGCATGTCTGAGATTTTTCCCCAGACTCACATGGCATCCATTCCTTCTAGAAACCTCTGCAAATGTATTGATTAAGTGAGTGAATCCATTCTTTAAATTTTAAATCAGATGCCCTAAAATGCCGTAATAACGAGTACACGTGTCTACAGCGTTCACACGGTTCTTCAGCTAAAGGTGGGTTTAGGTTTTACGTGCTCTTTAATGAAAGGTGAAAACATAAATTGGGACTTTGTTACTGCTCAGTTAGATGTGACTGGAATAAAACAATGCTGTTAGATGATCAGCATTATCCGATCACGTGATCAGATCGGAGTATCAGTATGTTGTTTGGCTTTAGTTCTAGCTCACAAATTCATCAGCGCTTTAATGACAAAGATGTAGCAGTTGGTGTGAATGTTATTTTCTAATTGGGAACTGATACTAGTTTTTGCATCAGTCCGTGATGAATGACACCGTTAATCAACATTACATACTCGTAGCTTACCAAAACATAACGAAGATACTTTAAGAGTAGCACAAACACTTGGTACTCGTGATGCTGTCTGTCCTTCAGCACAGCTCCATCACAGCCATCTTTAAGGCTATTTCACATTAGTTTTATAAAAGACATTATATGTAATAGAAAAAGTTATGAATGATTCTCTCTAAAATGGTCCCAACACAAGACCACTGCAGATTTCTGTTTTATGCAAGTGCATCGTAGTTATTCCATCTCTCCTTTCAGCCATATCCCCACCTGCTGCCGCGGCGAGTCAACGGTCAGAGGTTTCGGCTGCAGCAGCCTCTCCCCCCTCCTCCTCCACCTCCATCCTACTATCCAGGCTTCCTCCCTTACTTCTTGTGAGTACTTTCAATGAAAGCAGCTTGTTTGCAGAGAATGTCGATTACATTGGGATGAGTCACATATCACACACGCACAGGTGATAATAAAGCATTTCTGTTGCTCAAGGTTTTCCAAATCCAGATGAAATAATCACGATACATCGAGATATCGAATCATGGACTCAATATATGTAATCGAACCAAGTTGTGAGATTAATGAAGATTCATCACACCTCTAGTGTCTTGATGCAGCTACTTACCTGAATGTCTAGTAGGTGATTCATCGATATCATGACAAACATTTTTAGTTTAGAGTGGTGCAGGCATGTTGGCTTCTTTAGTCCCATGATCCCATTACCATTACTGGGTCAACGATTTGATTCAATATCTCGATGCATCATGATTATTTCATATGGATTTGTTTTAATTGATAAACAGAAGATGTGCTTTGAGACAACATACCACCCCCCAAAAAGCTCTTGATTCACAACAGGCAGGACCAGTACAAAACATTAGGAAGATTTAATCAAGTAAAACGTCTTGATTCCTCATTCACCATCTCACGCTGTGGAACAGCATGCTCTGCAGATGCTAACAAAACCTTAAAAGAACTGAAAGCCTATAGGACACGTCAAATTCTTGCCTTTAATTTAGGTTATAAAATCCATATGTTAGCTGTTAGTGTCTGAGTAACTCTAATCAAATATTTGTGAATCACATATCAGTTCATGGGTGTAAACAGTTACCCTGGCCTGCACAGAGAGAGTCTGGTAACTCACAGGCAGAGACGCACATAAGGGGCGGGACTAGGCAGCTCAAAAATAACCAATCAGAAATAAGATGGAAATGCCGGCTATACAGTGCAACGCTGTAGTTTTCTAGCTGTAGTAAAAAAAAGGCGTCTGGCGACGGCGCAAACGTCCTTTTTTATTAGAAGAAAGTCTTTTAGCGCTTCTACTTGTTGTGGTTTTAAAAGGAACCCAGGTTACAAACCTTGTGGTTCTTAAAAGATAAATGTTATATTAAAATGGTGTAAAAAACCTTCTTGATTCTTTATTTTTATAAAGTTTGTTAAAAACATTGTAACTCGTAGGTCGCCGTTGTTGTTAGCGCTGCAATGCACTCTGGGTAGTGACATCATATGGTTGTACATCGGGTGCACCGGCGGCTTTGGGACCCTGTAGGGGCTGTTCAGCGACATCAACGTGTCGTCTGTTCAGCCTTTTCACTTTGAACCAGAGTGAAACATTAATGATGACATCACTGACCATGTTTCACAAAACCAGCGTCAACATGAAGAGCAGGAAGGGCGGGATGAAGCGAGAGCAGGACAGAACCGGTGGTGTGTGCAGCAAATGCGTCTCCATGGTAACCGAGAAAGAGAGTGTTTGTTGTTAAGAGCTCACATTTGTGTCAGCAGAAGTTAACGGTAAGCTATCGTGTGATCAAACTTCGTCAATGATGAATGATTTAGGAGAATTTCAGCATCCAGAGCTGTCGTGTGCTTCATAGATGATCAGGATATTCAGTGGAACCTTTAATCAGTGTTGCAGGTATTATATATGTGAACAACACTGTGTTGCTACACTTGCTGCTGGTTTTACTGACGGGAGAGGAGAATGTTCAGCGTGACGAGGGGCGTGTCCGATGGGTGGCTGAACGTGACAGAAGTGGCAGCTGCAGGAGCGTCTCTCGTCTCTCCGAGGGCGTTTAGGCTCCTTGTGTGGGAAAATGGTCGCTAAAGCATTTAGTGTCTGCCTTCTCTTACACCCAGCCGCTCTGGTGAGCTCTTTAAGTAGTCGTGGTCGACTATTAGCCTCAAACGCATCAGCAGAAAATGTTGGGAACACATAGGGTTGGGCATTGTTTCATTTTGAACAATTCCAATTCCTCGTTTCGATTCCGGTTCCTATCGATTCCTGATTCCGATTCTTTGAAGACATGACATGTTTTACATGAGCCAGCTAACCACAGGTCCTACTTGATGAAATAATCTTAACTTCAACATGAATTTTAACTCTATGAACAACAACATCACCTTCATTTAGACACAAACCTGTTTTGGAGAACAAAAGAAAAAGACTTGCAGCACAACCAGTGTGTTTGTTTTCAGACCACAACCAAAGTCTGGAAGCAGCCTCTGGGATGAGAGGCTAAATGTCTCCAACACATCCAGAGACGTCCAGCTGTTTTCAGCTAAAACTCTCAGGATGATCATGTCCAGGATGACTGAGAACTACACCTCCATGCTGCAGCAGCGTTCAGTCACAACAGGAAGTGAAGCTTAAACGTAGCTGCTGTCAGTAACAATCTAACAGGTTTAAACATTAAAACTCTCAACAGAAATAGTTCAGAAAGGAAATTAAAATGTTATTTACTATTATTATTATTATTATTATTATTTATTGTGGCAGCAGCTGGTGTGGTCCACCACAGAGAAGCTGCTCTAGCATGATGACTTGAATTATTCTACAGGTTATTGTTCAGTCTTCTGACGCTCTCACACACACACACACACACATGTGTTGTTGAGCGGCTGCGTCTGACTGCTGACGCTCCGTGTGTGGTTTTATTTCTGCAGTGAGACAAACTCACCTCACACTGTCCAGAGTTTGTTCTTTAAAGCTTCTATTAAATCCACTGTGTTGACGTATTTAACACGTTTCCTCTACGCTACAGGAGTTAACGTTTACATGACGGAGTAAAAGTTTAGCAGACATGTTTGTTTATATCTGGGTGGGGGGAGGGGGACTCGTGCTGCACACAGACAGCTGGTGTGATCGGCTCTGAAAAGCTTTGATCACAATTAGCAGATCACGTTTATTTTTCACGGAGATCGGCCGCGGATTCCTCTTCCGTCAGCATTCTAGGAATCGAAACTAGAAACTTTGAACGATTCTGGGAAAAACTAACAGTTGGAACTGGTTCCAATCGATGCCCGACCCTAGGAACACAGCTGCAGATCTTTGGGAAGTTGTGTCCGTCCACAGGCATCTTCCCACTGCTTTCTCCTCTTCTTGCCAGTGGGAAAGCTGTAAACTCACATCACTCCCCTTGTTGCCCTCTGACTGGAAATTACACCCAAAAGCAGCAATAGCTGTTCTTCCAAGCACAACCAATAAACGTCTTCGCCCCCAGAGTGCATTGGTGCGGAAACATGGCGTCCTGCATATGTCAGAAATGTACTAAATATTACAGATTTATAAATAAACAGCAACATTTTGTGTGTTTCTAACAACATAGTTTGGTACAACAGAACACTTGTGGCTTATCAGGGCACACACGTCCTCGTAGCCGCAGTTCCTTTTAAGGACATTCAAGTCATTTAGAACAGAGGAAAGAGCTGCAGCGAACTCCGACGCTGTAGTTTTTTAGCTGTAGTCAAAAATGGCGTCTGGCGACAGCGCAAACTTCTTTGTTTACAAGAAAGGCTTTTAGCGCTTCTACTTGTTGTTTTAAAGACGTGTCCAAGTCATTTAGAACAGAGGAAAGAGCCGCAGCGAACTTCGCTTCAGTCGCCATGTTCAACAAACTCGGCGTTACGGTGTGTGATGTACGCTACTCAGCGCTGATTGGCTCGGTTAGAATTCTCACGGGGCGGGGTTTTTTGAATAGGAGAGTTCCCAGAGCCTTTCTCTGTGCAGAATTAAACAGAGGAGGAGTCTGGCAGGCCAGGCTAGGTATTACCCACAAGTCATTGCTGCAGGAGAAAAGGCTCAAGTTCCTTCTCTGAAAAAATGTATTTTCTAATGAAATTTGTTAATTTTAGGACAATTAGTTGATGCTCTAAAACTTTTAGACAAGGCAGCAATAAAAGTAAATTTATTTCAAATAACTGTTTGGCTGTTTGTTTATAAGTTGTTAATAAAGGTTTTTGAAAAAAGTAACAGCATCCCAGCATGCATTGCAATCGATGACGCAATGCTCCCTGTCTCAATTCTGCAGTTATTTGCACACTTGTGTACTACGCACTCGAAGCCTGCTGCACACTTTCCACAAGTGCACTTTGCTGAAGTCCGCAGTGCGAGTATTGAGATTGGGCCTAGCTCTCCTTTCTAAACATACGTACAACAAGGCGGAGAATGCAAGCTTGTGATTGGTCAGAACGCTGCTGTCATCGACAGCACCCTCAAAAACATGGAGAGCCGAAGATATCTAGCGACAGAAACGGAGCAGCTTGAAGAATACCTCGCAGACAAATTCTAAAAGTATAAACGTTTTATTCACCCGTGACTGGAGGAGTGAAAATAATACGCAGCAAGTGTGACGGGAAACGTGGGTTTAGAAGTGCCGAGTGCAAGAGGAGGAGGATGAGAGACAAATTTGTCTGTGTTAAAAAGTCTCTTATGTACAAAAAACACAATATAAACACCATCTTGGACCGATACATGACAGGATACCACAGAACAGCGCTACGCCCTCTGCTGTCCTGGCGGGGAATTGCTTTGCAACACTCCCCAGGAGACGGAGAGGTATGAGGGTAAATTGTCTCTCCCTCGTGGAGCTGACAGAGAAGTATGAACTAGGCTTCTCTTTCAGCTCCGCCAGGGAGCTCTGTTCAGGTTTGGTCTCAGGTTAGAACTCCAGCGCTCGGTCCTGCAACACCATCTGGAGGGCATGTAATACCACTACTGACATGATGTGATTCCAGTGTAATCATTGATAGCGTGCTTCTTCAACCATTCATAATGGTTTATGCCTGCTTCTCAATGCGTTGATTATTCTGCACCTGCGCAGACTGCTTATTGGATCTACAACATCTGAAGTACACGTGTTAGTTCTGCTGTTTCAAACATCAGGGTTATTTCTGTCCTTCTGCTCAGGTCGATGCTTCCTGTGCCTCCAACAGCAATGGGCCCAGCCATCAGCCTAGACCTGGATGTGGATGATGTGGAGATGGAGAACTATGAAGTTAGTAACGATGTTATTGGTTGCCAAAAGATAACTGGGACACTTTTCTCCCCTCATTTTAAAAGTGTTGCAAAGGTTGGAGGTGGACCATATTGTATCATTCACTGCGACATTCATATCTCCCGGGCAAAAGAGAATAAATCATGATGGAGTCCACAGGTTGGCTGTGCTCACATGCAGTAGCGAGGTATTACGGTAACGGAGGCTACTATGTCTGGAGTCTGTCAGTATTAACTCATATCAGTGAGCAGGCAAAGATAGATGGTACACCGCACCTGTTACTCGAGTAAAGCTAGTTTTCCAAGAGAACTACTCAGAGTAACTGGGACTGATGCAGCTCCACCCGTCCACCGTTCTCAAGGGCACGGTTTGGTATTTTTCCTCTACTTTATCCCCAATGTTTAGTCCCTGCTCTGTTGGGGTACCTGGCAAGGCTAGGTCGGGCCCACATTGTGACTCTGGCTGCTAATTGGCTAGTGGGTGGAGTCACTGGTTGCTCTGGAGTTTTCTACCTTCTGCTTCACTGCATGCAGCCATTTCCTGGTTCAGAGTCTGATAACATGCGCAGCAACACCGCCGCGTTTGTGCTGCGTTGTTTCTGTGAGCGCACAGGTTACCTCACTGATCACCTCGTGCTGTTTCATCATGAGTAAAAATCGCGCGTGCACCCATCCGTGTGCCGTGGGGGTGGGTTTACTTTTACTTCCTGATATTTGGACATCTCTCCTCTGATTGGCTAACAGCAACACAACTCTACCACTGACTCAAGTTGCTCTGCAACACGGATGTTTTCTCCAAAAAGAACACAAGTCTGGAGTTCTGTGTGGTGGAGTTGCTAACGCTAACTGTTAGCTTCTTCTTGCCGAGGCGCTGTCTGCTGTTTCCTGGACACTAAACCAACAATCTTCTCCGCGGGTCAAGATGGGCTTTACACGAGCTGGCACAGACAAGCACATCTTCCTTTCGGTTATGACCCCTTCAGTTTTACAAGTCTGTGACGTTTCCTCTCATCACCACATCACAAAGCAGCCGTTGTTGAAAGCTGTTCATTCTCCACTTCAGACATAAAACACAGTGTTTGTGAAAGTGTCGAAGCAGAAAGGATGAGGTCTGTGTTCTGACATGTAGTATTTTCATTTTTTCAAGGCATTGCTGAACTTGGCAGAAAGACTTGGTGAGGCGAAACCACGTGGACTCACAAAAGCAGATATAGAGCAGCTTCCATCCTATAGATTCAACTCAGAAAATCATCTGTCGGAACAAACGCTGTAAGCCTGCTCATATGTACTTAACACACCATGAAGCACACCGTCTCATGATAACGTGCTGCTTCGTCTCCACAGGTGTGTTGTGTGCTTTAGTGACTTTGAGTCTAGGCAGCTACTTCGGGTATTACCTTGTAACCATGAGTTCCACGCCAAATGTGTGGATAAATGGTTAAAGGTAAGTTCTATTCATTCATCTACATCTATCAGAGCACCTCCGTACTAACCGAGCTCTAACACGTTCTTCCACTCCGCTTCCAGACCAATCGCACTTGTCCTATCTGTCGAGCTGATGCCTCGGACGTACACCGGGAGGTGGAGTGAGCGCCTTCTCTGAGTGCTGAACTGAAAAGCTGCACACACCAGAGTATGTCTCAGTGCTGGGGACACCTGCCACATAACCTGCGTCCTCCAGTAAACATAGCTTACCAATCCACCACTCCTGTTCCTCCTTAGACAAAAAGCAGCCCAGGATTGTGTCTGGAGCGTGTCGTACCTCTGCTGTGCTTCATTATCCGCGTGTCCTGAAACCCACTGCCTACTGCAGCCTAGAGCCAGAGCTCTGGGCTCGCCAGCCACTTCCTTCTGCCCCGTGTTGCAGATTCCAAAGATTTCCCCTACAATGCATTATTTGCTGCTTTTGTTTACAGGGTTTCTTTTTGGATTATTTTGGATGGTGGTGTTGACACACAAAAAGGGAGGGGGCCTTGGATTGGAGGAGTCAGAAGCCCAGAGGATATTAGGCTGGACACTTTGTGCAATTAGCAGAAAAATATTAGGAGTACTTTGGTGTGGGTGTCTGTGTTTGGAGAAGCTTAACCATCAGAGATGCATGCTTGTGTAGTTGTTGGGCAAAGTGACTTGTTAATATTGTATGTTCTGCAATAACGTATTGATTCTTTTACCAGTTTTACTCCTAGGTTGTTGTTGTTTTGTTTACTTTGCCAATGCTATTGTGAAAGTGTGACTGTCTGTGGTCACATGCAGACTGTGTTAAGCCCGAGGTCACGGACTGCAGATGTCAGGACACACAGCTGCAGGGTACCTTTTCACCCCCACCCTCCAGTCCATTCTGGATCACATATCTGTACACATGCAGTGATGGACTACGTCTTTTTGAGGTCATCTGCCATAACTGCACAAGTGCTACATCCGCCCTCCACGTCAGCATTGTTCCTCTGGCGCGTGTGTGTGTGTGTGTGTGTGTGTGTGTGTGTGTGTGTGTGTGTGTGTCCTGTTCACGGAGCCAATGCATTTTGTGTAACCACTGGATACAGGGCAGCATGCTAGGATTTGCATGAACTGTTGATTCAGACTAGCAATATTTAAATCAAGCATTGCCACCAAAACGATTCACGTGTAGAAAAAAAAGAAATGTAAAAAAAAAAGCACGCAACTAAAAAGAACTACTTGCTCATCCAAAAAGCACTATGAGCAGGAAACCCTAGCATGTGGTTACTCTCTGGCTGTGTTGAGGAGGAGGAACCTCGTCTGAAGGCTTTGCTCTGGAGGCCTGTGCAGAAAGCAATATGTGCAGCGAGTGGAGAGTTTAAAACCAACGAGCATCAGCTTCCCTTTTAGGAAGACTTGGGCTTTTTATTTCTTTGTTTGTGAGCCAAACCCAACACATATAGCCTACTGTTAAAGAATTCAGATCTGCCTTTTTATGACGTTGACAAGCACAAACCTGTTACGATTCCTGAGAATCCTTTGTCATTTCCACTTCCTTTTTAATGTTTATTTATTGGTTTTGTTGTTGAAGGACAGCGTGGCAGCACTAACAGTCCGGTAGCGGGCCAGGTCTTTGGCCGTGGGAATGGTGTTGCTTCAGTGCGAATGCTTGTAAGGAAAAATGTCTGAAGACAAAAGAATGTTGAAAGCCCTTAGTAGAAGTCACTGTTGCCGCACGGCAGCTTCAGCTGGAGCCCAGAGACACTGCTGAGGCCTCTTGTCCCCGCTCATGTTAAAATTAGAAAAAAATACAGGAAGTACTCTGGGTGGGAAAGGAACGAGCAACACATGAACTTTGCTTTGACTTGACTCTCCTGACTGCCCCGGTGAGCACTAACGGGCAGCTGGAGCCTTTGCTTTGATGTATCGAGGGTTCTTGCCTTTTCTTTGTTTTGTTTCAGTGAATGTGAGTCCTGGACGTGTGCCACCTTCAAGAGAAAAAAATAAGCCATTCAACGCGTTAGTTAACCCCACAGCTTTGAGAATTAACCTATGTGTACATATCTATTTGCTGGCATATATTGTATGTTAAAAAAATCACTCAGGGCCTCGGTATATAAAAATAAAGGTGAAATGGTAAGGATGCCATGAAAAGGGTATATCTGAATTTAGTTTGGTCGGTTTTTTTTAAATGATTTCATGTAATCAATGATATTCTGTTCTGTCTGAAATAGTAGATATTACACCGTATAAAGAGCGGCATGCAGGAAAAGAATAAGTATGTTAACGATATTCACTGAAAAAGACTCATTACCGTGTTATCCAGACCTGTTTACTTCTGTTCTTGTACTCAAACCCACATGTTCAGTTGTGGTCCCGTATCTAAACGTGCCACGGTGCACTCCTTCCTCCCGATTCACTCCTAGACCCACTTCACAGGTGTTTGCATGACTTATTACAGAGAAATAAAAGTAAAACAAATGTGTTCTAGTGGAGGATTATCTCAGTCTGGTGGGGACCTATTTAAAGGTGCACAATATGCATGCTTGTTAACCGGACCCCAACTGTTCTTTTTTATTCCTTTAGCTCTAGTCGGCTTTGGGTTCTGGAGGTTTGGATCCTAACGCTCAGCTGATAACTGCCATGCATTGTACTGCACACATTTGTAATAGAACTGAATGACTACAAGATTTTATGCGCTACGTTCATTTTATAGCGAGGGGGGGTAAGAAAAGGTCCGGAGAGCAGGAACTTACTGTTATTGCCCTGATGACTGAACGAGTACACGCTCTGAAACTACTGTAGTCTTCTCAAAAAGCCATAGTGACAAGGTGCTAGGTGTCGCTTTTAGGTATGAAACTCACGCGCGTGAATGCAATAGTTTGTCATGGACTTATGTATTCTTAAAGCATGTTGTACCAATACCCCTAAACGATGTCGGTGAAAGTTATTCTAGTTTAAGGGATTAAAAGAAAAGAAGAAAAAAAGAATCAAAGTGTTGTCATACTTATTTCAGTGTAGTAATGTATCTGCCTGTCGGGCTCTGTGTATGAATAACTAAAATGTATTGTTCACATATAGGTATCACAATGTTAGCACTGTTCTTTTTAAAGGAGATATTTAATTGACAGTATCATATAAAACTAAAGGAACCTCCCATTAAAGGCTAGGCAACAAGCTCATTTTAACGACAGTAAGAGTAATCCCAGCTTGTGGTGCACAGATGTTTTCCAATAAGCAGCTAGTTTATGTAGGGTTTGTGATCATTTGCTGTGTAGACACCATTTATTGTTTACCAATGATCTGGTTTGTGTTGTTTAGCAGTGGTGGGATGGTGGGTCCCCTCCGGAGAGCCAGCCTAGCCCCACCACCAGAGCCAGGGGCGTGTGTGCGGTTAGGCAGATGTTTGCTTTGGTACTTGCACATTTACAGTTACCTCATTGTTTTTGTTTTCCATGTTCGTACCCGTGGGTGGAGGGAGAAAACAATTAATATATATTATATAGGAAATGATGTCATCATTTCTTCATTCCATTGGAATCGTTTTGTTTGTAGCATTTAACACTAGTTGGTGTATTCTGTATACATCTGTATACTGTCTGAAATTTTTAAGATTTGTACTTTTTTTAAATGAAAGTTGCTAGTTATGCTTTACCAAGTAGTGCAATCATTTTTTAATTGTTGTGGCTGACTGGAGAGGGTTGTTCACTAATAAATGTATGATGTATACTCGCTACTCGGACCAGTGGCTGATTTAAAGACAAGTTCTCAAAACGAATCAAGAAAAAAGCTGCTTTTATATTCAATAAACCCACATTTTTAAAACATGTTTAATTTATAGTTGGAAAATTACATCTTTACATGAGCCCATTCAGATATTACAGGCAAAACAGGCATCTATGAGTAACCACAGGCACACTATGGGCAGACTAAACTACATAGAGCCACATGTAAAAGCTGTGGCCTTCGTTAAATATTGTACGTTTTAACTTCATGAGCTGGAGGCAGTCTGCTTTACATAGTAACAAACCTGCATTTGGTCGTTTCATGACGAGTCAAATAAAAACAATAGTGGGCATTTAAATATTTAACTTATGTACAAGTGATGGCTCATTTAAACAGGGTTCCCATCCTTTCAACTCTCGATCACAGCTGCTTCAGACTTGGACCGTGCTAGTTGTGCTTGATAATCGCTGTAGGGGTTGTGGGCTAAAGCATGAACCAAGAGAAACAGCAGGGAACTCCCCTCGAGTAACTAACAACCAGTCTTCCTCGGTTGTGACAGCTTGTGTGGGACGAGGAGGTTGTGCTGCAGCTTTAGTCTCACTGCTGGGAGGAGGATAACTGTTAGCTAACACCAACAACAGTTTCTCCACACAAGGAACCACTTCAAGAAATATTTATTTGATAAAATTCAAGACTGCAGGCTAATGGGAACCCTGTCAACACAAGTGAAGGAGCACTGGATGCAGGGTGGTTTAGTGATCCAGGTTAGTTTCTATAGCAACCATCCCTTCTGTAAAACGGCCATTTACCAAAACAAACCAAACAACATGGGTGGGTCAGAGATAAACGTGTCTCCATGTAGACGAGGTAAGTCATCTATTAGTCGTCCGTGAGGTCCTGAACAAAAACGACCTCGGAGCGACTGAGTCCTGCCTCCTTCAGCGTGGGGGGGTTGGGCTGCTCTGCAGTCGGAAGGCAGGGCAAGACTCGGCGAGGGAAGTTTGTCACGATCTGAAACTTCTCTGGAGTTTCCTTCAAAGAGAAAAGGAAGTCGTAGATTACCTGTGGAAGGAAGAAGAAACATGTAGATGTTTCATCACATGTCAGCGTCTAATAACCAAACATGGACCAGAGGCGTGTGAAGGAGACCAAAGACACCAGCGCTCACCGTCAGAGACTGAGCGAACAGGAACCGCCTCTCTACTCGTGTGTCGTTGGGCAACTTGAACACTATTTTAACACTTTCTGGATCATCAGCAGATGGTTCTGGAGGAAGGCACTCCGACTTCCTCTCCTTCTCCTCTTCTAGTGTCTGGAGTGAAAACAACAACAGGAATCAGACATGTAGGGGAAGACCAACGTATCCATGTACAAACGAAGACGCCCAGACTCACTCTTCGTCTCCTCTCCTCTGCAAGAGCACTCTGTCGGACCTTTTCCTCCTCTTGCTTCTTCTGCTCCAGCTCCTCCCTTTTCTTCCTCTCCTTCTCCTGGTCGGCGCGTAAGGAGGCCAGGTAGGCCTCATCCTGCTGCTGCCTCAGCACCTGGGTCTGGTTCCTCTCCTCTCTGGAAACAACACTTCAGTCTTCACTCGCTGCTACTTCAGCTGTAGAGAATGTGACGACGGTCTCACTAACTCCAGCTGGTCTGACGTACCGCTCAAGGCGCTCTGACATCAGGTATGTCTGGTTGGCATCCATGATGAAGGTGACCTGATTGATGAGCTCCTCAGGCTGAATCAGACCCTCGAGCCGACCCACCACGGTCATCTTCCGGTCCTTTAGCATGATCATGGCCAGGAATGGGTAGGTGTTCTCCCGCAACGCTTGGGACACTTGGTATAGAAACCATTGTTACACAAAAGCCCAGTGGACTACCATTATTACCACGCTTCTGCACGGATCTTAATGTTTTTGTAGCCACTCAAGCTAACAGAAGAGTCCCTGTAGGACAGAAAAGCAGCACTAGCTTCTAGCTTTGGGGACTCCACATGGGTCTGAACTAGGGCTGGGCGGCATGGCCTACAACTAATATCACGACATATAGAGGATTTCACCTCGCTAGCGATGAACAGACTAGAACTACAGGTGTGTGCAGGAACAACAGTTGTCCACTAGATGTCACGTGTTCCAGGTTGAGTCACACTGGTATGCCACTGAAGGTGGTGCAGCTTCTTACAGGACATGAATGTTGCCAGCTCACACACATATTTCATGTTCTCATCTCATTCCTGAGACGGGAACAATTATCTCGGTAAGAGTGGATTTATTGCCCAGCCCTGGTCTCAACATGTTGTTTACCAGTGATATCAGAGTGTTTGTTGTTTTCAGAGCAGCCAGACTTACCCCGGGTTTCCACGGGAGCCGTCAGCAGCACGTTACTGCAGCAGCACGTCTAGCTGCTGCTTGGCCCTTCCCACGAGACGTGACGCAGCAGAGGAGCAGCTGTCACCGACAGGGCACGAAGTCACACGAGTGACTTCGTCAGTAAACACAACAACAAGCAGGAGAAAACTACAACATGGCTCCAAAATGTTTGTGTTTTTATATTCTGTCCGTTTTATAATCGCCGATACGGACCTGAAAAACAAAGGAGACCGCTAGCTAGGTGATAACTTCTCACGGGGCCGCACAGTTAGTAACCTTTTTTAAAGTAAAGCGACCGGAAGGCAGTACATTCTTTATTCTGAAAATTTCGGGAGCTTCTCTCCATTTCCGCGTCCGATTTCCTGTCTTTCCTTCCCCAAAAATGTCGAACTTGACCCGTTTCAGAGGCGTCGCGCGTAGGAAATAGAACCGGCGCGTAAAGGCCGCGACATGCTGCTCCTGAGACGCGGCCGACTCGCGCTGCTGACAGCTGCTGACGGCTCCTGTGGAAAAGGTTCTGTTGACCACAGCCGTTCCTATCAGCAGCTATGACGTGCTGCTGCAGTAACGTGCTGCTGACGGCTGCTGTGGAAAGCCGGGGTCACACTGATAACAGATGAACGAATGAACGGGCATACACACCTCGGTAGCCCTCAGGCTTGCTGGTGGAACATGCCCAGAAGAGCATCCGTGTGTTGAGGAAGGTTATGACCTCTTCTGTACATAACGTGGAGCTGAGGAGCCACAGATCAGAGGAAAGGATGAATATGTTCACCTCATCTAACAGTTAAGGTGTGGTTCACTCATTAATCAGTGCATCTGCAGAGGTCTCTAGCAGGAATGAAGGCCTCGTACGTCACACTCTGTTTCAGAATCTAGAGAATGACCAGATCAGAGAACTTCAGACGACAGGATCTGGAGTCTTACTTCCTGATATTCGGACATCTCGCCTCTGATTGGCTAACAGCAACGCGACTTTACCACTTTGCAACTCAACTCAAACTTGGGAGTTCTGCTGTGTGATGTAGTTGCTAACGCTAACGTAAGCTTCTACTAGCCGACACGTTCTCTGCTGTTTCCTGGACGCTAAACCAACAGCAGCCTTCCTCGTCGTGATTCCAGACGGGTGAGTGCATGAACGTTAGTGACATGGTGACGTAGATCTGTCAGGCTTTTCTAATTCTAGACTTTCACCGTCTAGATCTGTCAGAAGCTAATGCAGGACATAGGTGGAGGAACTTTTCATGTTCAGCCTGCATGAAAACCTCAGACCGATTATAATTAGAACCACACCTTTAAAACTATTGTATGAATAATCAGATTATATGCTGTGAACAGATGAGCACACACACGGTTCATTAGTGTACCGATGGTGTGAGATATGTTAAGGACAGAAAGGAATACCGGCAAAACTCGTCTGTGTCTTGATGGTCGTCCCCGTGAAGGTACACTAAAAGGTAGCGGAGCTCCCGTTTGGCATCATTCAGCGCCTGTATCAACACAACAAGCTGGGCGGTGAGCCTGCTGAACATCCCATAATAAGACACGCCTCTGACGTGAACTAACCTGGCTGTATGTCCCCTGGTAGAAGACAGGATGTGCCTGACCGTACTTTTCCTCAAAACTCTGAATGAAAGACACGACGTCTCCAACGGGGTCCGTCACGCGCCCACGAGGATCCGACCTGATGAACCGCAGGGCAAACCTCGAGGACACAAAAACAGCTGATTACTCTGGTGAATAGAACGATGACACACGACCAAAGTGCTCCGATTACCTGAATATATCCAGAAGTGTGTAATATGTAAATCTGAATGGCAGCATTATCAAGTAGTAACCCCATCCTAGCAACCCCTGAGAGGAAGAGCATGAAGACGTCACGAGAGCAAAAACAGAGTCACACATAAAGAAGTAAAAACTGAAATTAAAGGTATTAAGTTACCATAAAACATGAAGAGGAACTAGAGTATGGTTTTAGAAGGAGCAATTTAAGTAGATTTGTACTTTGACAGGAAGCAGTTTCCTGTCTGAGTGATGACATCACAGACCTACCCTGGGCTGCGGCCTTGAGACGATGTAACTATAAACTCTATGGTCTGCTGTGTTGACCTGCAGCGGCCTGGAGGGTGGAGGGTTAAACACACTGGGAACGCCTTCCTGCTCATTGAGTCTGTCTTGGACTGCAGCCTGAGAAAAGGGTAGAGAACACACACACACGGCGCTCAGCTCAGAGAATCCACACATGAGAATAGACGTTACGAAGCCAAGGGAAGCGGCTGCACCTCTATGTTCCAGTTGTGCTGCTCTAACGTTCGACGGCATTGGTCCATTGAGTCCAGACCCGTTAAGTCCTGTTAGACGTGAACACAAAGTCAGAGAGATGATCTAAAGTTCCTCCTACAGGCTGAAGAACTGCTTTAAAACCGTTCATGTTCCCCTCTGGTGGGACTGGCGGTAAACTCAATAGATCCTATAACTCGGGTCAGAACTCTCTCTCCCAAAGCATCAGCTGGTTTACCCTGACAGAGATCATCACGGCCTCATCTTCTGCGTGGACTCGATGTGCAGCACTACAAGGCTTCTTCTAGGTTTTAAACTTGGAAAATCCAGACTTGTCCCGACAGACTTTCTGTTGTTAGCTTGATTTTCTGGCCTCGTGAAGGCATTTGCTGCTAATGTAGACACCATGTCCAGGAGTGAATCTTCAGCAAGACACACACGTTATTACCTTTGCAGATCAACGCTATTAATCAACTATTAATGCCAAACTGAGGCTTTGGAACAACGAGTTCAACAGTAATCACATCTGATTAGGTGCTGACACAAGGCTGCACAAGCATCAACAGGGAAACTCGTGAAAATGTAAATATTAAAAACAAATAAACATCAGCTAATGCGTCAATGTAAATGTGAAAACAATCCTACTGAATCCTGGCCACAAAGCATTCAGGGACAACAATCATCTGATTTTAATGTACTTAAACTGTAAAACGATGTTATTGTGTACAATTCTCCTGACTTTGAATCAAACATTGACACTGACTGCAGTAAAACATGTTTTTGTGTAGAATAAAAAAGGCAAAAAGGCCTTTTCAATAAGTTTTAATTGAACCATTTACTCATTTGGGCTCATATATTGTGGGATGCATCTGATATTCTACAAATACACATGTACTAGCCAAAGAGGAGAACTGGACTCGCCTTCTAAGTTTATTTTCCAGTAAACTTTCGTGGATTTGAGGGACAATTTACCTCAAAAGTGAATGAGCTCAATGACTGACAGACTACAGACCCGTCAAATTACAAACTACGGTACAACTTTAGATAAACATCAAAAACACACCGATTCAGCAGAGCTAAAACACCGTAGGTGCTCAAAAGTTCTGTGTCAGCCTGACTGACAGCAGTGCTAACGTTCACTTAGCAAAATGTTGAGTGGAGAGAAACCAGCCCTCGTGTTAAAACACTCAAGAGGCCAAACACGCTCGTTTCTTATCGATCAAGTTGAATTTGGTTCAATTCTGCGAAGAATGTGAGAAAAAAGTTAATCTTTTAAGAAGAAAGTCTGCTAACTTGTTGGCTAGCCTAGCCTCTGCTAACGCAAGCTATGACTCAAGTTGACGTTGGAGAAGCGTTATCGAAGTTAACTGCGAAAAATTAGTTCCTACACCAGAAACTCGACCTCCTCGTAGCGACTCGCGCTCAGAGCTGGCTCAATGACACGCGAGGCTTCTGTGTTTACGTAAACTCTGGGTCCTCTACCTGGAATTGGAGGAGTTTTTCAGTCTGCGCCTGAGATAAGTCTGGCTCCTCTGGCGCCGCCATCTTACCTCACCAATCATCTACCAAGGCGTAATAACCGTCCTTTCCTTATGCTGGTGGCGCTGTCACGCGCTACTCTCGATGCTGCCCCCTACCGCTCCGGAGGAAAATTTATGGCAAGCGGATGTATCATATAAAGAACGTTTCATTAAGTAACTTGCTTTTCAAAGCAAATATGCAAGTACAGCACTTTGCTGTCGGAATTAACATTTCACCCTTCTAGAATACAGTTGGTCTCATTCACAATCTACATTTTATATGTGCCAAACGTCATTAAAATAAAAGAAAAAATGTTTTTAGCACCGTGATGTATGCAACCATTTTCAAGAATCAATGTTTTGGAGGTTTTTTAATATTTTCAAGCACCCAAATGTTTATAATTTTTTTTAGTTTAAAAATTATTCTTTTGCAATACCTCATTTACTTTCTTTGTCAAACTACGAACACTAAATAATTGTAATGTTTGTATGTTTTGTCCACCGCGATGTGTGCAGCCATCTTCCTAGGCAGGTCACTCTGAAAGAGGTCTTGATCTGATTGGGTTTTTGTTCTGATGAAATAAAGGTTTCTTTAAGAAAACAATAAAAATTAAAAATACATTTTAGTGATCAGTAATAAAAAGTATTTACAGAAATTTAAAATCACACTATAATGGGTTCGAATCTAAAGACATTTCAAACTGAGAAGTGTTTACTAGTAACATATAAAACATAACTACAAAAATACATTGGTGTAAAAATATTTGATTTGCACAATTTTAAATCCAGAAATAAAATGAAAATGTAAAAGTTGCCTTTTATGGAGCTAAGGGCACAATAAAGGAACAAATGCCCTTTAAAATGTCTTCTGCAAATATGAATTGTTCTTTTAACAAGAAAGAATGACTTCTTTCTAGTGATAAGATGTTTTAGACACATCCCACCTGGAGAAAGGTAAGCTGGATCCAGATAAGAAAGGGGTGGACACGGCTACCTTTTTTTTTCTTTTTTTAACCGTGTCCTGTCTGGCTGTGAAGCAAGCAGAATTGATGTCTGAATGCTGGTAACAAGCCTTACAGATTTATTCTCAGGTGGAGCATCAAAGCGTCTGCTTTAAATGTCACGCCTGATACTTCAAATTTTATTGTTATTGTTTTTGAATGCTTTGTAATTCCAACCAGACACGGAGACAGAGGTGAAAGAGAAAGGAAAAGACAAATGGTGGGAAGAGAGGGGGAGGGGGGGGGGGGGGAGGTTCCACAAAAATAAACAATAATGAACAAGAGTCTGCTTCTAGACCTGCAGAAAGAGAAGAGCAGAAAAAAATGGGACACACAACAATACATCAGGAGCAAGCTATCACTGCATCAACCTGATGACGAAATATAAAATCAACATTGTTTAACTGAACAATCACACGATAATAAATCATAGTGCATTTAGTGGCAACGACAGCCTTAAGACATGTGTTGAACGTGCCCAAGCCCATACTTTTGAGAGCACCATGTGAGCACCTGTGTGTGTACACGTGCTTGTTTATGTAAGGTTTCTCTATAGCAGCGTCCAATAGAGTGTGAGGGACCATAGATCTACCCCCCAAAGATGTGTAGGAGACGGGAGAAGCTCCAAGTCCCAGAGATCCAGGCGCTGCCCCAGAACACAGGAACCCCAAGGGGACTGCAACCAGAAAGGCCCCCGCCCCCCTCGAGGGGGACACGCCTACCATTAAGGGGGCCTCCAGTTGGTGGAGAATCAGTTCGTGGGGGGTTCCTGCATGTGCAGTTCATCATGTCTGTCTGAAGAGTGTGCGCGCGCACCCCCCCCCCCCCCCCTCTGCTGAGCCCATGTGCACGCACACACAAACACACTAAAAGCACCAGTGTCAGGTGTACCATTGTGTAACTGCATTACTAACAGCATTATTTTTAGGTCATGGAGTAATCTAATTACTTTTCCCATCGCTGTAACGCTATGTTACTGGGCATGTGAAGTGGCACGTTACCCTGTTATTATAATGTGGTTGAATTAAGCACAGCAGTTGTCAGGCTGTCTGAAAGTCACTCCACTGATGTGTTGGAGGTTGCCCCAAACCCCTACCCCGAGCTGGAGTTACAAACGGTAAACGAGCACAGCGCTGACCACATCTGGGTACAGGCGTAACGTGGTAGGTGCACGTTACACCTGATGATTAATCTTTGCCATCAGAAATCTACTTATACTTCTGGACTCCAAGGAATTTGCCATCACTGGACTTCCTGAGAACATGTAAAGCTCTCTAATAGTAAGAATCTCTCTTCCATGCAGGCGCTTGATGCTCCAAATGCCCATTTTGTGTTAAGGTCCACATTTGTTTAAGGGAAAGAAGTGGGGAGCAAAACAAAGAGATGTAAAACTTTATTCTGAGAACACAAAGCTTGTTTTCCTGTCGCAGAAAGAGAGTACATTGTTAGAGTACCTGAACAGTTTCCCATCAGGATTGTCTCCTAACAGCACAGAGATCATCAGAAAATAAAAAAAGACCACAATTAATCACAAGACTGAGCTTAAACATTGCTACTTTTTCCCCTCGACCATAATGATGTGGTACCCAAACTTTGTCTTGACGGGAGGGTCTGTGTAGACGGGTTTATCCATCGAACTGATGGGTAAAGCAAACGCTGCTTCCTGGAACGGCCCGACCATCGACCCTCACGTCATCCACCCCAGATCACCCTGTTGAAGAAACATAACACAACTGATGACTAAATCATTCATTTGCACGAAGATTCCTACTTCATTATTTATGTGGCGTTCCCAAGGAACATCTGGATGTCTTCCGACGTTCTCCCCGAGGCTGAGACAACACCGGTGGGGGAGTTCTGATGGGTTGCAGGTGTGAATGTGAAGATGTCGAGGGTTGGTGATTTTAAAAAGGTGAGTCATTTACATTCATGATCTCAAGCCTTAAAGTGACAGTGTGCATTTTTCCTGGCAATAGGAGGCAGTAGATACCTAAATTGTTGCAAGCAAGCAGTATTTTTCATATATATGTATATAAACACTAGCTGGAGAAAGCGAGAGTCGAGGGCATCGCTAAATGGCGGCCATCGTACCTCAGACAACAGACCCCTCCACTCTCAACGGTAGCAGCTGGAAGGTGAGTGATCAGCTTAAACAAAAACACCTTAACTTGATGAAATATTAACAGATTTACAAGCGGTTTGCCTTGTTACGAACCTTAGAACACAAAGGCTTGAGACAATGTACTTGCACATGTTGAAAGTAATGCTTTTGCTTTTGTAAGTGACCTAGTTGTGAACCATGTGTCCCGCCTAGGCTATCTGCATGTTATTCAGGTTGAGAACACAGTCGATATTTCATGTGGTTCTACAAAACCAATAACAACTTTACGACAGCCACATTGTTGTGTAAATGGCTGTTTGTGGATGTTTCTGTATTTACTAGCTGTCTAACTTGGCTTAGAGATGACGAGGCTACGGTGGGTGGACTGCTTAGCAAAACAAAGCTGACTGTTTACCTCAGTGGGAGTCGCTCGTTTTATTTTAAATATATTAATGCTAAATTGCCCGTGATTTTTAAGCGTCTTGGTTTGTTACACAAAACTTATACTGAGATCTATTAAAACAGGACATTTCTGGATTTATGTTTGTAGAAATACACCTTTTGTAATTGTGAAGCTTGAGGGTCAACATGGCTGACTTTGTACAGCCTACGGATGCTCGAATCACTGCTGTGGCAAACCGAGACAACGTGGGATCACCTTTCATCTGTAACGGTTGCAAAGAAAACCTACACTTGTACATTATTCAGTCTGTTAATGGTTTTTATGTAAATAACATAGTTTGAAACTGTTGTTCCATTGCTGCTGCTACCTTCTTCTATACATTGTTTATCTGGTTTTATGAATGTTAAAAATCTCCTTCACAAGGTCAATCCATTATCCATCTATCTTATTTATTACTGTAATCCACCTTATTTATTACTGTAATCCATTTTATTTATTACTGTAATCCATTTTATTTATTACTGTAATCTATTTATTTATTACTGTAATCCATTTCTTTATTACTATAATCCATCTTATTTATTACTGTAATCTATTTTATTACTTTAATCAATCTATTTATTACTGTAATCCATTTTATTACTATAATCCATCTTATTTATTACTGTAATCCATTTTATTTATTACTATAATCCATCTTATTTATTACTGTAATCTATTTTATTACTTTAATCCATCTATTTATTACTGTAATCCATTTTATTTATTACTGTAATCCATTTCTTTATTACTATAATCCATCTTATTTATTACTGTAATCTATTTTATTACTTTAATCCATCTATTTATTACTGTAATCCATTTTATTACTATAATCCATCTTATTTATTACAGTAATCCATTTTATTTATTACTGTAATCCATTTTATTTATTACTATAATCCATTTTATTTATTACTATAATCCATCTTATTTATTACTATAATCCATCTCATTTATTACTGTAATCCATCATATTCATTACTGGAATCCATTTTATTTATTACTATAATCCATCTTATTTATTACTATAATCCATCTCATTTATTACTGTAATCCATCATATTCATTACTGGAATCCATTTTATTTATTACTGTAATCCACCTTATTTATTACTGTAATCCACCTTATTTATTACTGTAATCCATTTTATTTATTACTGTAATCTATTTTATTTATTACTGTAATCCACCTTATTTATTACTGTAATCCATTTTATTTATTACTGTAATCTATTTTATTTATTACTATAATCCATCTATTTATTACTGTAATCCATTTTATTTATTACTGTAATTTATTTTATTTATTACTGTAATCCACCTTATTTATTACTGTAATCTATTTTATTTATTACTGTAATCTATTTTATTTATTACTGTAATCCACCTATTTATTACTGTAATCCATTTTATTTATTACTGTAATCTATTTTATTTATTACTTTAATCCACCTTATTTATTACTGTAATCCATTTTATTTATTACTGTAATATATTTATTTATTACTGTAATCTATTTTATTTATTGCTGTAATCCACCTTATTTTATCCACTGGGGCGACGGCGGCACAGGAGTTAAGCGTTCGCCCCGTAATCGAAAGGTTGCTGGTTCGAGCCCCGCTCAGTCTGTCGCTGTGTCCTTGGGCAAGACACTTAACCCACGTTGCCTGCTGGTGGTGGTCGGTGGCGCCAGTGCTCGGCAGCCTCGCCTCTGTCAGTGCGCCCCAGGGCAGCCGTGGCTACATCGTAGCTCATCCCCACCAGTGTGTGAATGTGTGTGTGAATGGGTGAATGACTGATTGTGTTGTAAAGCGCCTTGGGGGGTGCCAGGACTATAGAAGGCGCTATATCAAATACAGGCCATTTACCATTTATTTATTACTGTAATCCACCTTATTTATTACTGTAATCTATTTTATTTATTACTGTAATCCACCTTATTTATTACTGTAATCCATTTTATTTATTACTATAATCCATCTTATTTATTACTGTAATCCATCTCATTTATTACTGTAATCCATCATATTTATTACTGTAATCCATCTTATTACTATAATCCATCTTATTACTGTAATCCATCTTATTACTATAATCCATCTTATTTATTACTGTAATCCATTTTATTTATTACTATAATCCATCTATTTATTACTGTAATCTATGTTATTTATTACTGTAATCTATGTTATTTATTACTGTAATCCACCTTATTTATTACTATAATCCACCTTATTTATTACTATAATCCATCTATTTATTACTGTAATTCATCTTATTTATTACTGTAATCCATTTTATTCATTACTGTAATCTATCTTATTTATTACTGTAGTCAGTGACTTGATGCAATTTGCTGGGTTCCTTATATAGGAAACATTATTTCTGATTGGCTTAATGAACTGACCTGAATTGGAATGTTTATTATGTGAAGTGCCTTGAGACGACTCTTGTCGTGATTTGGCGCTATATAAATAAAGTTGAATTGAATTTATTACTGTAATCCATTTATTACTGTAATCCATTTTATTTATTAATGTAATCCATCTTATTTATTACTGTAATCCATCTTATTACTGTAATCCATCTTATTTATTACTGTAATCCATCTATTTACTACTGTAATCCATCTATTTATTACTGTAATCCAGGGGTGGGCAATTATTTTTTCCATGGGGCCACATGAGAAACAGAAAATATTGTGGAGGGCCAGGCCAAAAGGCTGAAGTCAATTATGCATAATATTAACGGTATTTCTTTATAAAAAGCAGTAAATACCATGTTTTTTTCAAGCTGGTAAGAGTGGACTATATGTTATAAATGAGCAAATAGGAAAAAGTGAGGTTGGCTTACAAAAATGTGATTTATTCAAATTTCCCAAGGCAATGGTAAACAAAGTGTGCACATTTGGTTTTTGTTAAACATTTGTGACTTATATTAGTTAACAGTTTCAGTCACATTCACTCCAAAACACATTTTGAGTTTCAAATATTGTTGGAAAGAGGTTCTTAGCATTCTACAGACACACAGTATTGTCTGTAAAATAAAACCACTGAACTGTGATCTTGAGAAAGAGGTTTCAAAAAAAGTGTCCCAGTTCACTGCTAGCTGCCTACATTTTTGGTCCAAACACCTTATTTTGTGTTTTTAAGCGATTTTCTTCTTATTCAGTGAGAGAAATCTAGTCTCTGCTGGGCTTTAACGAGTGCATCAAAGTCAGGTTGAATGTCTGAGGTGGAGATGCGAAGCACAGCTGACAAATGATCATCAGTGAGAGAGGATCTATACCTGGATTTTGTAAACTTCATCACTGAAAATGTTTGTTCACAAATGTAGGTAGAGCCGAAGAGAACCAACATCTTCTGAGCATGTCTCCTCAGGTTTGGAAAGTTCTCCTCCTTAAGAGAAGAGTAGAAATCCAGCAGAGATCCTGACTTAAAGTGCTCTGCCAGTACTGCATCAGAATGCAGGTCAATGAGTTCCAGCTGCACATCACTGGGTGCTTTATCCACACTGCAGGTAAAGGGAGAGGAAATCATGTGCATTGTCCTCGATTGTTCTGAGATCTTCAAAACGCCTTGAAAACTCATCATGTAATGCTCCTAACATGGATGAGTACCTGCTGAGGTGATCAGCTGATGGTGTGACTTGGTTCAGGGTTTGCATGTGAGTGAGTGTTGCTCTCCAGTTGACTTGAAAGAAACTGCAGCTTTCTCATGAAGGCCTTCACGAGGCTGTGCATTTCATGAACAAAAAGGCCCTTGCCTTGCAGTCTGGTGTTCAGTTCATTCATCAGTGCAGTCACATCAACAGCAAATGCAAAATCTGCCATCCATCCTCATCTGAGAGCTCTGGAATGTCTTTGCCTTTCCTCTCGCAAAACTCTCGAATCTCTGCTTTCAAGTCCCAAACCCTCTTCAGCACTTTCCCCAGGCTGAGCCATCTGACAGCTGTGTGGAGTCCTCCAAAAGAGCCACAAACTTTCTGTGATTCATTGCCCCGCGCCCTGATGAAGTTTATTATTTTAGTAACAACATCAGTAACAAGGTTGATTTTTAGCACTGACTTGCACAACACATGTTGGTGTATAATACAATGCAAAAACACTAATTTTTGATCTGCATCGATTTCTGTCACTTTATCTTGCATGCGTTTCAAAAGTCCGACATTGTTCCCTGTAAGATTTGGACAACCGTCTGTTGTGACACATGACAGTCTCCCATTTCAACCCCAGAGTGTCCATGCACGCATTTACCTCTGTAAAAAGATCACTCCCTGTCGTTGTCCCTTTCATTGGCCGCATTGCTGCCAGCTCCTCTGTGAGCTTGAAGTCCGTTATCCCCGGACAAATACGAGCAGCTGGGCTGTGTCGCAGACATCACAGCTCTCGTCTAAGGCCAATGAGAAAAAGTCAAAACTTGCCACTTCACGTTGCAGCTGAAGCTCCAGGTTCCCCGCAATGTCCTCGGTCCTCCTGGTCACGGTTCGCCTGGACAGCGGGATTTGCTCAAATGCGCCTTTTTTTCAGGGCATATTTGTGCGGCAGAGTCCACCATGCACTCTTTGACAAACTCTCCCTCCGAAAACGGCTTGCTGTTTTTAGCTATTTTGTGGGATATCACAAAGCTGGTCCTGGTTGCTGCATCCCTGGATGTGTGAAGCTTAGTAAAAAAGCCTTGCTGCTTTTGCAACTTTGCTAGCAAAGCTTCGGATGTCCGTGCCCTCTCAGCATCAGACGAGTTCTTGTATTTTTCCGAGTGTTTCTTGTCGTGATGCCGACTCAAATTGTAGTCCTTAAACACGGCAATCTCCTCCCCGCAAACCAAACACACGGCTTTGCCCCCGACTTCAGTAAAAAAAAATACTTAGCAGTCCAATTTTTGTTGAAAATCCTGCATTCGGCATCTTTCTTTCTTTCTTTCTTTCTTTCTTTCTTTCTTTCTTTCTTTTTTGCATGAGCGGACATTTCTGGATCACCATGTCAACCGTGGGCACTTGTTGCTATACGTATTGCGTCATTGTGCACGTAAAAAACAACTTCAAAATTAAAGCAATGCAGCCTTAGTCCATGCATGAGGTAAAATGAGAAAATACATTTATTTTGTAATTTCCAATTAACCTTACGCGGGCCAGTCAAAGTCAACCAAAGGGCCGTATGTGGCCCGCGGGCCGTAAAATGCCCAGATTTGCTGTAATCCATTTTATTACTGTAATCCATCTTATTTATTACTGTAATCCATCTATTTATTACTGTAATCCATCTTATTATTTTAATCCATTTTATTTGATACTGTAATCCATCTTATTTATTACTGTAATCCATCTATTTATTACTGTAATCCATCTTATTACTGCAATCCATTTTATTTATTACTGTAATCCATCTATTTGATACTGTAATCCATCAATTTATTACTGTAATCATCTTATTACTGTAATCCATTTTATTACTGTAATCCATCTTATTTGATACTGTAATCCATTTACTTATTAATGTAATCCATCTTATTTATTACTGTATTCCATCTATTTATTACTGTAATCCATTTTATTACTGTAATCCATTTTATTTGATACTGTAATCCATCTTATTTGATACTGTAATCCATCTTATTTATTACTGTAATCCATCTATTTATTACTGTTATCCATCTTATTACTGTAATCCATCTTATTTATTATTGTAATCCATCTATCTATTACTGTAATCAATTTTATTACTGTAATCCATTTTATTTATTACTGTAATCCATCTATTTGATACTGTAATCCATCTATTTATTACTGTAATCCATCTTATTACTGTAATCCATTTTATTACTGTAATCCATCTTATTTGATACTGTAATCCATCTTATTTATTACTGTAATCCATCTATTTATTACCATAATCCATCATATTTATTACTGTAATCCATCTTATTTATTTACCTAATAAATCTTTTGATCAATCCCTAACTTACTCAGAAAGCATTTCCAAACAGCTTATTATTAATAAATGAAAGTCTATAAATAAGAAAACAAAAGTTAAGAAATAGTGAAAATACAAAATTTGCTGGGTTAAATTTTATCGCTGGCGGGGCGGTTCTGGCTGACAGATGTGATTTGGGTGTCGGTTGTTTTTTTGTTGGGGTGCACATTTTGTATCAGTGTTCTGTTTATGTGGGTTTTACCTCAAAAGAAACTTGAAATCTCATCTCTAAACAAATCTTATTTCACAAACCAGGAAAAAAAAATTATATATATATATATATATATATAATAGGCTATGTATACTTTAATTTACTGTAGCTTACAATTAAATGTGTCATTTATGAAAGACTAAATGCTTTGTGGAGTGAAATAACAGGATTTTCTGGGCCAAACCCATCCTATTTCATAGACACATCTCTGGCGTTTATAACAAATCAAACCTTTTGAAAATCGGTAGAAAATTGAGCAAATTAGAGTTGTTTAAATAGTACATGCACCACACACCCCAATGTCACGGAAGGGGGCAGCTGTTTGAGGTAAGATGGCCGCCACGTTCCTACGTCGCATCCCATTGGCGAACAGTGGGGACGAGCCGTTTAACATTTGTATACATATCTATGGTATTTTTGTGTTGGAGTAAGACCCTACCAACAGATGCCCACTAGGGTCAAAAAGCCCTGGGGAGTGCAAACTTCAGCTAAATTACGAGCACATCAGACTCCCTTTCATCACTAGCAGCAAGTGAAGAGATAAATGTGTAAAAAATGTTCCTGAATGGTGAAAGTTTTGTAACCGTTTGTTACAAATCAGTAAATGCATTTTGTCCTCATGGGCTCCCGTAAAAGGAAACATGGCATCTAATATGGCGTCGCACAGAGACTCAGACCCGCTCCCGTGTATTTTAGACCTGATTTTTATGGTTACATGTTACGAAGCTGCCAATATTTTCAACAACTGGGCATGGTTTCATTCATTTTCAACAACATTTCGATGGATATTTCCAGAGATTAATGGTAAAAACTGCACATTGTCCCATGAAGGCAGGTTTTCCTGCACATGGTGACAAAGACGAAAACGTTGTCGGTGATGTGTGAAAAACTAACAGTAATGTGGTCATCACAGGTGTGAAGGAAGCCAACTGGGAAAACCTGAATCCAGCAATAGAAGAGACAAACCAGACACTCGGCTTACTCCTTGTCTAGCTTTGTCTTCGCTGTATTGTGATGCTACTTCACTGAATCGAACTCCAGCTTTCAGTTTTTCCATCGCCTCCATGCATTTTCCATGTTTTTCACAGAGGATGTGCCGAACCTGGGAGTGAAACAGGTGGGTTTTATAACAGAACATCAGTTACTTTAGTGCAGTGGTGTCTGAACTTTGGGTCAAAACTGACAATTAGAACGTGCTTATGGGCTGCAAAGCTTTTCGTGTGTTTGGTTTTCCATTTTTACCTGCTCAGCTACATATTAAACGTGCTAAGGACCAAAGCACCTGTTTAGTGTTGCTAAGGTTCAGTGGATCTTTGCAGATGCGAGACAAAAAGGCTCTCTTACATTTGTCTGCATGAAAGAAAAAGTTTAAATAACCTAGATTATTATCCAGGTGTCTGACTTCGAGCTGTATGGGAAGTCTTGGCAAAGTTAGGACTTCCCATACAGCATGTGTGTGTGTGTTACAGTCTAACACACACACACACACACACACACACACACACACACACACACACAGAGTTTAAACTTTAAAGCCCCTTGATATGCCACATCTGTGAGGTGGGATGGATTACCTTGGCAAAGTGCTCACTAACACACATGTAGACAGATTACAGAACATTTGAGTCATGGCTGTTTTGTGTATGTAGACAAAGTTCAGATGTTTGAGTTCAGCGCATGAAAAATGAGAGCAAAAACAAAAGTGTTGCGTTTATATTTTTGTTCAGTGTAAATAAAGCTGTCTTGTCTCAATCACCTTGACAGAAGTTCCTCCTTTAGGAGCTTTTTCCTTCTTTTCTACCTCTGCACCTCCTGAAGCAGCTCCTGCAGAAACGAAGAATAACCCAAACAAACACTAACGAGGTGTACACAAATAAAGCCTTCCGTCACATTAAAACGTGTGCTTGCATGCTAACTCACGGCTGCTGCCGACAGAAATGTCAATAATAATAACTAAATGTTGAAATGAGAGCCCGTGTGGCCCACTGACCTTTACCAGCTTTTCCACCTTTCCCCTTTGGTGGCATTTCTCTTCATGTACTCGTCAATTTACGAAGTAAAATAGGAATAAACAGCGCTATGCTAGTGTGAGCATGCGCAGTAGCTACAAAGCAAATATTTCTTCTTCGTTAGTTTGCTGTGAGAGACAGATTTTTTTTAAATTCACACTTCCACCTAGTGTTCAAAATGTGTGCAGCACCTCCCCCAACCAAAGAGAAACGAGACGAACGAAATAAAGTGACGTCACGTGTTTTTCACGTGGTAGAAATAATTTCTAAATCTGAAATAAACAGAGAATAATAAAACTGTAAACGCAGGCTTAAAAATGTACAAAAACATAAATGACAAATCATTAACTTAGCTAAATGTAGGCTATTTTGTAAAAATAGATTCATGTGATATTTTATTAATTTTTTTTTTTTTATTTTTTTCGAAATAACATTCAGCTGCTCTTAAAACAACTGTCTTGTTTGCACAAAGCATGTGCTCTCAATGCTTTGTGTTTTGTTTCAATGAAGCATCGTATCATTACAGTTTCTGGCCCTTAAAGTAAAAACTTTTATTTGAATACATTAGTTAGTAATAAATAGTACTTGTAAAAGGAAGACAAGGGACTCAGAGTAACCACGTTAGACAATCGTTTTATTCGCCAGATCCTTGAACCAACATGGAGGCTCGCCAAGCCTCCTGGGAATAGTAGCCTACTACTATATTTGCTCCTTTAAGCTAAAGTCATCTCTTCTTATTCTTTCAAACACACAAAGAAACTAACACATTGTCTTGTCTTACAAAAACTCTACTTAACCATAACACATTTCGTTTTTTTTTCTCTCTCACACCCAAAACTTATGCAACCACTTAGCTTTAGAACACAGATGTGAAGTTATTTTCACTGATAGTTCACAAATCCATTCTGTCAGGTGCTTTCACCATTCGACCAGAACTAGTAACAGTTCCTGTAGGTCAAAGATGGCTTCTGTTTCACCTGAATGTTCCCCTGTCTGTCTGTTTCCACAGACAGACAGGGATGATCTGGGAGTACTGGCAGGCCTGACAACCGCACCACAAGTTCCTTCTGTGGTGATCCACACTTTTTGTCCTGGTGTGAGTGATGACAGAGGTCTGGATCTGTGTCTCCTGTTGTAATGTTCTGCCTGCCGACTCCGCCCTTCATCATCCTTCTTCCGAAAAGCCTGCAGGTCCGGCTACTGAGGAACCATTTTAGCTGATGGTTGTGGTAGGGAAGTTCGCAGGTTTCTCCCCATCAGCAGTTGGGCTGGCGAGAAGCCATGTTCCATTGGAGTGGCTCTGTACTCCAGCAGAGCTCTGCTCTGATCAGGATCCTTCGTCCACAAGTCCTTTATAGTCCATACTGCACGTTCAGCCTCACCGTTGGCCTGTGGGTACCGTGGGCTGGAGGTGACGTGTATAAACTGATACTCCTCTGTAAACCTTTTGATAGCAATGGTTCACGAAACTGTATCCTATGTTTTTGGCATGTCTCGCAGTTGTCCACCATGCGGCCTATCTCTGTGGAGATACCCGGCCACCACACAGACTCTTGAGCCCTGGATCTGCACTTGGAAATCCCCTGATGCCCTTTATGCAGACACTCCAGCATGTTTGCTTTGAGGTTATGGGGGATAACCAACCTCTGACCTTTCAGAAGACCATTTGTGACATGAAAGTCCATTCTGTGCTGCCAAAAGGGTTTAACGTGGGTCCAGCTGGCATTTGTCTGGCCATCCCGTGAAACAGTGCTCCATCACTTTTCTGCACACCTTATCTTCTTTTTGTACCACTTTTACAGTCTCAAGCTTCCTGTCTGAGGCTGGCAACCCGATCACCAGACCGTCTACAAAACTTACTCCTCTTTTTCAAACTGCAGCTCCCCTGCAGAGGGCTGACCCACCAGGGGTGCTCTGGACAGGGTATCAGCTGTGATGAGATTTTTCCCTGGCACATGAATGATGTTGATAGTGAAGGGCAGCAGTCTCAAACGAAACCTCAAGACTCTTGGAGGAAGATCATCCAAGCTCCTAGTGCTGAGCAAAGGGACCAGAGGTTCATGGTCAGTCATTAAGGTAAAAATTAGACCCATTAGGTATGATGACAGTCTTTCACATGCCCATGTGACAGCCAATGCCTCCTTTTCAATTTGGGTGTAATGCCTCTCAGTGTCTTTTAGTCCTCTTGAAATGTATGTAATGGGTCGCCAATAACCATCCTGCTGTTTTTGTATAAGGACAGCTCCAATCCCATATGCTGATGCGTCCGCTGCTATTCTTCTGTCTGCCAAGTTGGAGTACTGAACGAGTACTTCTGGAGAGCTTAGTATCCCTTTTAGTCGTTGAAATGCTTTTTCTTGGGGTTCTGCCCAGATCCACTCATTTCTCTCCTTTTGCAGATTCTTTAATGGCATCGTTATTGACACCAGCTGTGGCACAAACTTTGCTAGGTAGTTGGCCATGCCCATGAAACATCGCACATCTGCTACACATGTGGGTTGCGGGAGCCTTGACTTTATTAGGGTCGGGCTCAATGCCGTTCATGGAGACTTTGTGACCCACAAACACGATTTCAGTCTTGGCAAACTCACATTTTTGAATGGAGACAGAGGCTTCTGGGCACCACCCAGCCTTCCACGATCTGGACGGACCATCAGAACCTTACTCACATCCGCTCCACCAAGCAGCTTAATCCTCGCCAGGCCCGCTGCTGGGCCCTCTTCTTTGAGCCCTATGATTTCCCTCTCGCATACCACCCCGGAACCAAGAATCAGAAGGCTGATGCCCTCTCCCGTCAGTTCTCACACTCCACGCCCACCTCTGAGCCCGCACCGATTCTACCAGAACACTGATTCCTGGCCCCCCTGAGGTGGCCGTTGGAAGAGACTATCCAGCACGCCCTTCGGAACAACCCCGCACCTCCAGAGACCCCCGCGAATCGTCTCTACATCCCTGCATCCTGCCGCAGCGAGGCGCTTTTCTGGGCCCACTCGTCACGCATGTCTGGCCATGCGGGGTTCTGTCGGACTCTGAAGTTCCTCCAGCGGGCCCTTTGGTGGCCATGCATGGCGAAGGACGTTAAGGAATTCGGGCCCGACCGATATGCTTTTTTTGGGACCGATACCGATATAAAACTTTTAACAAAGGCCGATAGCCGATATAATGGCCAATAAATCTCCCTCACAAAAAAGAAATAAATACAAATGTTCTTAAGATTAAACCCTTCATTCTCTGCCTATTTAATGCTAACTTAATTCTATATTACACACCAAAGAACTGTCTCAATAACTCACTAGGGTTTCCAAGTAATGCAAATAAGATTCATTTTGCAATCTCAAAAACAACGGAACACACAAACTCAGTCAGTATAAATCTAACATTCAAGTTTTTTGTTTTCTGAGTCTGTGGAATTTTACACTTTTGTGTTTTGATCCTTTCCCAAGCCGACAGTATTAGAGAAATAAAAATATGATACGTTAAATGACTAGTATGTGGCAATGTATAAGCCTTATGTAAAATATAAGGCTGAAAAAATACAATAGATTTATTCTATTGTAGAGAGGGATGTTTATTTTCTCGTGTTACCGCCCCTACTCCTCTCCCAGCAAGGGAGAGGAGGGGGGACTCCCTGCACAGTGTTTCATTGCTTTGTTGCCAACCCCCCCTCGCCCGTCCTCAGCTGCGACAACGGTCGTGTGCCTGGATATCCTATTCTATAGGCCACATGAGCCGCCGGAGCGCTGTGCGCCGGCGCTCCAGCCCGTGCCGTGCAGCGATCGTTTCAGCGTCTGCACTATTTTTTCGCAAGCCGCGGATGAACCGCGTGAGTTTGAAAAGACTGCTGAAGATGAGCAGAGGAAATTGTCTGAGAATATTCCAGAATGTCTACCAGAAAAAGGTATACGAGGCCACGAGGCACACAATAAACTTAGGAAGCATGTTGAGGGGAAACATACTTTTGTCATTGCTTATTTTACCGTTCAACTTACCACTGACACATCAAATATGCTTAAAACTGAAGATTTACCTCCTACTTCCTCATCATCGTCGTCTCTGCTCCGCTGCATGTGTGCTGACGGTGGCTCCACCCCCCGAGGAATGGAGCCACATAACATGAGTTCATAAAGCTGGCGCCATTTGCTGGATAGGTAGCACAATATCGGCCATATCGGCCGTCTTTTTGGCCGATAGCTGAGAGTGTTAATGACCCCTATATCAGCCGATAATATCGGCGGGCCGATGTATCGGTCGGGCCCTAGAATACACTAGTGCCTGTGACCTCTGCGCTCGCTCCAAGACACCCAGCCAGGCCCCTGTTGGGGTCCTCAGACCACTCCCGGTGCCCAGCCGTCCCTGGTCCCACGTGGGCCTGGATTTTGTCACGGGACTCCCGCCAGTCAACAACCTCAACACTGTCCTCACGGTCACAGACTGTTTTTCAAAAGCGGTCCACTTCATCACTCTTCCAGGTCTCCCTTCAACCCGACGCACTTCGGAACTATTCCTGGAAAATGTGGTGCGCCTCCACGGCTTCCCTGTCGATGTGGTCTCCGACCGGGGCCCCCAGTTTACGGCCGATTCTGGAAGGCCTTTTGCCACCTAATGGGAGCATCGGTCAGCTTGTCCTCAGGCTATCACCCGCAGAACAATGGTCAAACGGAGCGGGTTAACCACCAGCTGGGTTGGTACCTCCGGTGCTTTGTCTCGGCTCAACCCTAGCAGTGGCCAAAATACCTCCTTTGGACGGAATTGTCCCACAACCTACACACCTCCTCGATCACTCACATGTCCCCTTTTGAGGTCTGCTATGGCTACCAGCCCCCAGTCTTCGCCAACCAGGAGCCTGAAGTTGCTGTTCCTGCCGCGCAGTCCCTGGTGAGGCGCTGCAAGAACACCTGGATCAAGGCACGAGCTTCCATCACCCGGGCAAATGCCCGTTATGCTCACCAATATCTCCGCCGACACCGTCCTAGTCCCTCCTATGTTCCTGGGGATAAGGTCTGGGTGTCCACTGCGGGCCTCCGCCTCCGTGCTGGATCCAAAAAGCTCGCTCCCCGGTTCCTCGGGCCTTATACTGTATAGAAGGTTATCAACCCAGTCTCAAACCGGCTGTGGTTGCCGGCAGGTCTCCGTATCCATCCCACCTTCCACA